ACAATAACTTTCATGTAGTTTTCTGTTGGAAACAGAATATCTGTTTTCAAGAATATTTAAATATACATTTTCGAAATTCAGAAAACAATAGAACTGTCAAATTAGTGTAAACGATATAAATGATAAATATCTAATTGAAAATATTTATTTTTTTCTTCTGGAATGGTCTGAACATAATATTCAGAACTTACTTACGTATGCCATGATATTAATATCTATGACTTGCAATATCTTTTTAATCTGTTATATCGGCGAAGTATTATCGGAAAAGGTGATTGACATATGGCAACATAATCGAATACTGTAAACAACTGATTGATTTGGATGTTGACAGTGTGAGAATATTGGAGACATGATTTATATGACAAACTGGTATCATCTGCCTGACAAAGATATTCTAAGTTTGGTTATGATCATTTCACGATCTAGCGTGAAGATGAAGATAACCGCCGGAAAGATAATTGACAGACATGTCGCTATTCGCTAGTGTATGTCTTCATAATTTTTTTAATTCTAAAAGAAAATTCAATCAAAGAGATATTTAAGGAATCATTTGCAATTCCAGATAGTAAAATCAGTTTTCGCGTACCTAAATATGCTGTGTCAAACAACAATGTGAGCTACATACAGTATTTAGTCTACTCTTAGATAATAAAGTTTAAAATTTTCCCATTTAAACAAATTTATGTAACTTTTGGAGATTGAAAATGTGTTCGTTTGCCTACGTATTCTTGGGCCATATGCATGAAAAAATACATACATGTTTTATTGAAAGAAGAAAATTGTAAGGAGACATAATCAGGTTTTTAGGCAAATTTTGGCATCATTTTAGAATAACTGTCAAAAAAGTGAAATAATTATTATTTCAGCTTTATTTATGTGTTCTAGTTATTCTTTAGGACGGATATTTTTTTATGTATACTGTAAATAGCATCAGATATTTTTATCTTCATTCATAAAGACTCCTAAAAGTTCTACTAAATTTATAATATAGTTTAGTGTACCTTGTTACGGACTGAATCAACAGGTGGTTGCATGGAGATTTCAACTCCACAGGCAGCAAGCTCCTTCAATCTAATTCTGTCGGACAATGCTGATGAAATTGGCAATTCCAAACCATCAATGTAAGTAGCACACATTTGTATATTTGTCAATTATACTGCAGAATATTTCTTTGGAGTCGTCTCTGAAGATGTATTCTGTTAAGGACATTGATAATTAATTTCACTCTGTTCCATCGAATCGTTAATTGAAGATACATTCTCCTGCAAAACGTTTAGATCAAACAATGAAACTTATCAAAGTTAAAATTCAAAATAGTTATTTGTTAAGAATTATTTCAAATTTTACACTTTATAGTTCATGTAAAATGTCGCTTATACAGAGTTACAATCACTTCACTGCTTTTACCCCAACATTATCGCATTCACAACTACTCAGCGAAACGTACTCAGATTCAATCGCGACAGCAAAAAATTGAAACAACTGTCTAGACAAATCGATCGGCGCGAATCCCTTAGCAAAGTATGCGCGCACGTTGTCCAACGCTCTCTACGCTCCCTCGATTCAGTTCCACACGCGACTTTGTGGAGGAAACACAATGACAGACGAACTTAGAACGATCGAGAGGAAATTTGGTAACCTCAGCAAGTACAGCATACAGGTGAACCAATGGATCTTGAAGCCAATAGGCGCCTGGCCTATTACAAATTCAACCACCACTGTCGAGAAAATCACGACACGGATGTTAACTGTCGTTTGTTGGTGCTTTTCGCTGTTTACTATAATTCCTGGCGTTTTAAACATTATGCTGGAAAAAGAAGACATCTACCTTAAACTGAAGACACTTGGTCCTCTCAGTCACTGGTGTGTTGGAGGATTCAATTACGCTGTGTTGTTGCTACGTAAAAACGACATTCATTACTGTATAGAGCACATAAGAACTGACTGGAAGATGATCACGAGGTCGGAGGATCAACAAGTGATGCTGAAGAACGCGAAACTCGGTCGTTATGTCGCTGGTTTCTGCGCGGCTTTCATGCACGGCGGTGTTTTTTGTACGTGTCTTGTATTAGGAGCGTTCAAACGAACCATCGAAATCGGAAACGAGACCATGGCCGTGTACACTTTACCCTGTCCAGCGTATAAATTTCCAGTTCAAACGAATCCGACGCACGACATCATTCTCGGCACGCAATTTTTGTCAGCGTTTATCGCGAGTTCAAGTGCAGCTGGGGCATTCAGTCTTGCTACAGTTTTCGCGAGCCACGCTGTTGGACAGTTGAGCATAATGACGACATGGGTCGACGAATTCGTAAACCGACAGTCGAGAGATGAGAACAACAACGACTGTGTTAACAAAATAGGTATAATCGTTGAACATCATTTGAGAGTACTGAGGTAACTTTCAGTTTCATATGTATTTCTCTTTTGTTAATTTAGTGAATTTGTCTAATGTAATGTTAAATGCAGTTTCATAGCACGTATTGAACAAATAATGAGCCCAATATGCTTCATGGAGATATTTAAATGTATGCTGGGTATGTGCATGCCTAGCTATTACATCCTTGCGGTATGCTGAACGTATTTAGAAATGTTTTATGATAATTTTTATGGGTGTACTGATGTGAAACCTAATTTTCACGATGGAATAAAAAATATAGTTACAAATATCTGTATTGATTAATTTTTGAACACGTTTATTGCGTGCGAACATTTTTGCCTGTCTGAAAATTTTCTTTCGCTCCGTAGACCCATAATATAATAACTTTTGTGTACTTTTGTTGAAAATAATATCTGGTCTCAACAATATTTAAGTGTAATAAATGTACGTTTTCCAAATTCAGAAAACAGTAGAACTCTAAGACTCAATCTAAACGATAGAAGTGATAAATCTAATTGGAATGATCTCTTTTCCCAGGAATGGTCTGAACATAATATTCAGAACTTAACTTCCTATGTCATGATAATAATATCTATGACTTGCAACATTTTTTTAGTCTGTTACATCGGTGAAGTATTATCGGAAAAGGTAATTAATATATGATGACATGATCGAATATTTAAAACTATTAATTTATTTGGATTTGTTGACAGTGTAAAAAAATTGGAGACATGGTTTATATGACAAACTGGTATCATCTGCCCGACAAAAATATTCTAAGCATGATTATGATCATTTCACGATCTAGCGTGGAGGTGAAAATGACTGCCGGAAAGATAATCGACATGTCCGTGTTCACATTTGCCAGTGTACGTCTCTATAATTCTCTTAACTCTGAAAAAAAGATTCATTCAAAAAAAATATTCACTTGTATCACGTGTGATTTCAGATAGTAAAAACAGTTTTTGCATATTTAAATATGCTCTGTCAGACGACGATGATGTAAGGCTGCACACGTATTCAGATCACTTAGATAATTAGTGTTGACAAAATTATAATGAGATTTAATCATGTTTTGGACAATGTATTATACCCCTTGCGAAAAATTAATATTGTCGAAAGTTCGTGCGAAATAATAATTATTTCTTGCTAATTTACTTTTGAAATAATTGCTAAATTATTAGATAACTTTTAGATTATATATTTTTCGTATATTCGAATAATATCAAATGTCTTTGTACTCGTTCATAAAGAGATTTATGAAACATTTACTAGATATGCCTGTTAAGTAAGATACACCTTGCCATAAAACCGAATGAGTAGTTATAAGGAGATTCAGACTGCACAGACAGCAAGTTCTTTTAAATCCAATTTATCAGACAATGCTGATGAAATTAACAATTTCAAATCACATATTTATATATTTAACAATTATGTTAGAACATACTTTTGTAGAATCATACGTCTTCTGTTCTGAAGTCGTTGTTGACTCATTTGAATCTGTCCTTATTCATTCATTAACTGAAGTTAATTCTTCTTCGAAATAACGTGGCATCTACACTGTGTGACCGAAACTGTAACATTTTAATTGAAATTCAAATCGATTATTCGATGAGAATACCAGAGTTCACAATTTCTATTATTAACTTGTGCCGATCAAAAATATCCCTCTTCAGTTACAACCTCTTGCTTGCCTGACTCCCCTAACATTAACACATTCATACGGTGAACGAATTGAAACGTGCACAGGTAGAGTCACCACGGTAAAAATTGTAGCAACCGACTATACAGACATAGGGCAAAGCGATTATTGTTCCCTTCATTCAGTTGCGTGCTGAGGAAATGACAAACGATCTTGAAACGAAAGGAAATATGATAACCTCAACGAGTACAGTGTATAGGTGAATCGATGGATCTTGAAACCAATAGGCGCCTGGGCCGCTCCAAATTCCACTACCAAATTCGAGAAAGTCGCGTCACGGATTTTAACTGTCATTTGCTGGTGCTTTTGGATGTTCACTATAATTCCCGGCGCATTGAACATCATCCTCGAGAAAGAAGACATCTACGTCAAATTGAAGACGCTGGATCTACTTTCAGAGGACTGGAGTGTCGGAGGATTCAATTACGTCACGCTATTGCGTAAAACCGATATACACGATTGCGTAGAACATATAAGAACCGACTGGAAGATGATAACAAGGTCGAAGGATCAACAAATGATGGTGAGGAACGCGAAGATCGGCCGTTACATTGCAGGTTTCTGCGCGGCTTTTATGCAAAGTGGTGTTTTTTTGCGCCTGCATCGCAGCCGGAGTGTTTCAACGAACCGTCGAAATTGAAAACGAAACTGTGATCGTCTACACCATTACCCTGTCCACCATAGAAACTTCCAGTTCAAACGAAATCGATCCACGACATCGTCCTTAGTACACAATTTCTGCACAACCATTTGGCCTCGCAATCGTTTTCGCGAGCCACGCTCTTGGCCAATTGAACATAATGATGGCATGGATCAACGAATTTATAAATCAACAGTCGAGAGATCGAAACAGCAATGCCTGTATTAATAAAATAGGTGCAATCGTTGAACATCATTTGAGAGTGCTGAGGTAATATTTGGTTTCATAAGTATCTATCTTTTGAATTTGAATTTTTATGAGTTTGTCTAATCGAATGTTCAATGCAGTTTCATAGCACGTATGGAAGGTATAATGAACCCAATATGTTTCATGGAAATGTTCAAGTGTATGCTGGGCATGTGCATGCCTAGCTATTACATCTTTGCGGTATGCTGAACGTATTTAGAAATGTTATGTGGTAATTTCATGGGTCTACTGATTGGAAACAATAGTTTTCACGATGACATAAAATACGCAATTGCGCATGTCATTTAATATTGATTAATTATTAAGTGTGTTTAATAAACTCTGACGTGCGTATGTGAAAATATTTTTTCGCTCCGTAAACCCATGACAATATTTTAAATAATAATTTTTGTTGATTCCTCTGTTCAAAATAACAATACCTGATCTCAAGTTGATGAATATTTAAATATAATATAATAAATATGTGGTTGCCAAATTTAAGAAGCAAAAGAACTGTTGTATAAGATTAGTCTAGACGACACAGGTGATAAATCTAATTGGAAATATATTTATTTTTTCCCAGAAATGGTCCGACCATGATATTCAGAGTTTAAGTGCATATTTTATGATAATAATTTCTATGACTTCCAACATCTTCCAACATCCGTCTGCTATATCGGTGAAGTAATATCGGAAAAGGTAATTAATATACAGCTTATTAATTAATCAATATACCTTAAACTAATTGACTTGGTTGCTAATAGTGTAAGAAAATAGGGGACGTGGTTTATATCACAAACTGATATCATCTGCCAGACAAAGATATTCTAAGTTTGATTATGATAATTTCACGATCCAACGTGGAGGTAAAGATGACTGCCGGAAAGTTAATTGACATGTCCCTATTCACATTCGTTAGTGTATGTCTAATTCTTTTAATTCTGACAAAAGATTCATTGAAAAAGATATTCATGAAATCATTTGTGATTACAGATATTAAAAACAGTTTCTGCGTATTTAAATTTGTTGTGTCAGACAACAATGTAAGCTGTACATGTATTCAGTCTATGCTTAGTAAATAAAGTTTAAAAGTTTTCTGTTTAAACAAATTTATGTAAAATTTGAAAATAAAAGAATGAAGTTCCTTCAGTGTTTGTGTATGTGCATGAGAAAATACATACATGTTTTGTTGAAGTGAAAGTTGACAAAATTATAATGAGACCTAATCAACTCATTATTTTAGCACAACCGTGAAAAATTAGTGCTGTCAAAAATTCATGTGAAATGATAATTATTTCGGGCTAATTTATTTTCCAAAATTTAATAATAATTTTTGGGCTAAATAACTATTGTGTAATCAAATGATATCAAACGTCTCTATATTTATTCATAAAAAAAATTTCCAAAAATTTTGCTAGAGTGTGTATCGTTTAGTACCTTGCTATAGACTGAATCAACAGGTGGTTGTAAGGAGATTTCAACTGCATAGGCAGCAAGCTTCTTCAATCCAATTTCTCGGACAATGCTGATGAAATAAGCGACTCCAAACTATCAGTGTAAGTAGCACACATTTTTGTGTCTATCAAATACATTACAGTATATTTCAGAATATATCTCCAAAAATGTATATCTCTAAAAGTGTATTCTGTTAAACTTGGCTGGTAACTAATTTCAATCGTTAACTGGAAAAACTTTCGTCTGCAAAATAACGTTACATTCAGATTAAACAAATTTTCAGTTAAAATTCAAACTGATTAGTTGGGAATCATTCCAAACTTTACAGTTTACAATTTTTATCCAAAATGTTGCTTTCACAAACTTACAATCACTTCCTGCTTCATCCCCCAACACTGTCGCATTCGTAGAACTACCATGAACAAACTGCACCATACACAGGTTCACCATGGCAAAACATTGCATCAAGCGACTAGACGTATCGATCGGCGCAAAATCTGCACAAAGCATGCGCGCACGTTAGGCTACGCAAACATTCTTCTCTCGATTCAGTTGCATTCGTGACATCGCTGAGATATGGCAGACGAAAATAGAACAGTCGAAAAGAAATACGGTAACTTCAGCGAGTACAACATACAGATAAATCGATGGGTCTTGAAGCCAATAGGCGCCTGGCCTATTACAAATTCCACCACTACTGTCGAGAAAATCACGTCACGGATTTTAACTGTCGTTTGTTGGTGCTTTACGCTGTTCACTTTAATTCCCGGCGTTTTGAACATCATGCTGCAGAAAGAAGACATTTACCTTAAACTGAAGACACTTGGTCCTCTTAGTCATTGGTGTGTTGGAGGATTCAATTACGCTGTGTTGTTGCTACGTAAAAGCGAGATACATTACTGTATAGAGCATATAAGAACCGACTGGAAGATGATCACGAGATCGGAGGATCAACAAGTGATGCTGAAGAACGCGAAGCTCGGTCGCTATGTCGCGGGTTTCTGCGCTGCTTTCATGCAAGGTGGTGTTTTTTCCGCCTGCATTGTATACGGAGTCTTTACATCACAAACCACTGAAGTCGGGAACGAAACCCTGATCGTATACGGTTTGCCCTGCCCACCGTACAAACTTCCAATTCAATTGAAACCGATACACGATATCATTCTTGGTACGCAGTTCTTGTCAGGGTTTGTCGTGACTGCAAGTGCAACTGGNAGCATTCGGTCTTGCTGCAGTTTTCGCCAGCCATGCTGTTGGACAGTTGAACATAATGGTGGCATGGGTCAACGAGTTCGTAAATCAACAGTTGAGATCTGAAAATAAAAATTTCGTAAATCAACAGTTAAGATCTGAAAATAAAAATTCTTCTGTTAACAAAATAGGTGCAATCGTACAACATCATTTGAGAGTACTGAGGTAATGTTCAGTTTCACGTATTTCTCTCTTACATTGAACTGAATTTGTCTGATGTAATATTAAATGCAGTTTCATAGCACGTATTGAAAGTATAATGAGCCCAATATGCTTCATGGAAATGTTCAAGTGTATGCTGGGTATGTGCATGCCTAGCTATTACATTCTTGCGGTATGCTGAACATATTAAGAAATGTTTTATGGTAATTTTATGGGTCTACTGATGTGAAACAAAATTTTCACGATGGAATAAAAAATACAGTTACCAATATTTGTACTGATTAATTTTTAAACACATTCATTGACTTTTAAACATGCGTGCCTGAAAATTTTCTTCCACACTGTAGATCCATGGTACAATAACTTTCATGTAGTTTTCTGTTGGAAACAGAATATCTGTTTTCAAGAATATTTAAATATACATTTTCGAAATTCAGGAAGCAATAGAACTGTCAAATTAATGTAAACGATATAAATGATAAATATCTAATTGAAAATATTTATTTTTTTCTCCAGGAATGGTCTGAACATAATATTCAGAACTTACTTACGTATGCCATGATATTAATATCTATGACTTGCAATATCTTTTTAGTCTGTTATATCGGTGAAGTATTATCGGAAAAGGTAATTGACATATGGCAACTTTCGAATATTTTAAACAGCTGATTGATTTGGATGTTGACAGTGTAAGAATGTTGGAGACATGGTTTATATGACAAACTGGTATCATTTGCCTGACAAAGATATTCTAAGCTTGATTATGATCATTTCACGATCTAGCGTGAAGATGAAGATGACCGCCGGAAAGATAATTGACATGTCGCTATTCACATTCGCTAGTGTACGTTTTCATAATTTTTTTAATTCTAAAAGAAAATTCAATCAAAGAGTTATTTAAGGAATCATTTGCAATTCCAGATGGTAAAAACAGTTTTCGCGTACCTGAATATGCTGTGTCAAACAACAATGTGAGCTCCACATGTATTTAGTCTACTCTTAGATAATAAAGTAATAATAATAAATAATAATAATAAAGTAATAATAAGTTAAAGTTATAATAATAATTTAAAATTTTTCTGTTTAAACAAATTTTTGTAAATTTTGAAAATGAGAATGAAAAATGTATGATTGTGCCATGTGCGCAGACACACATGCTTTGTTAAAAAGAGTTGGAAAAATTGTAAGGAGACATAATCAGGTTTTTGGGCAATGTATTATTTTAGACAACTGTGAAAAAAGTTTATGTGAAATAATTATTATTTCAGCTTAATTTATGTTTTGTAGTTATTCTTTGGGTCGGATATTTTTTTATGTATTCAAACAGTATCAGATATTTTTATATTCATTCATAAAAAGAGACTCCCAAAAGTTCTACTGAATTTATAGTTATAAATATAGTTTAGTATACCTTATTACGGACTGAATCAACCGGTGCTTGTGAGGAGATTTCATCGGCACAAGCAAGCTTCTTCATTCTCATTTGTCGGACAATACTGATGAAATTAACAATTCCAAACTATCAGTGTAAATAATATACATTTGTATATTTATTAATTTTATTATAGCATATTTCTCTGGAATCTCTGAAGATGTATTCTCTTAGGGTCGTTGATAATTAATTTCAATCTATTCCATCGTTAACTGAAGATACATTCTTCTGGAGAAATAACATTACAGTTACTTAAACAATAATTCATTAATCAAAATTCAAAACAGTTATCTATTAAGAATTATTCCAAATTTTACACTTTACACTTCATGTAAAACGTCGCTTCTACAAACTTTCAACAATCGCTTTCATGCTTCGTTCCCTCAACATTACATACAACTACCATTGTGGCATTCATACAACTATCATGAACGAATCGAAACATACATACGGAGGTTCAGTCACCATAGCAAAACATTGTAGTAAGTAAAGAATCGATCGGCGCAAATCCTTTGACGAAGCGTGCGCAAACGATGAGTTATGCGAACTGTTGCCCCCTTGATGCTCAGTTGCATCGGCGACTTCGGTGAGAGAGTACAATGACAGAGACGCTCGTTGCAGCTAAGAAAAAATATGGCAATCTCGGTGAATACAGCGTACAGTTAAGCCGATGGTATTTGAAACCAATGGGCGCTTGGCCCGATCCAGTTACCACGAGACGTGAAAAGATCTTAGCGCGAATCTCAATCGTTGTCTGCTGGTGTATCATACTGTTCACCGTGATCCCTGCTATTCTTCACATCGTTCTCGTAAACGAAGATATCTATCTGAAGCTGAAGACGCTTGGTCCTTTGTCCCACTGGTGCGTCGATGGATTCAATTACCTTGTGTTATTGTTACGTCAGGACGACATCAGTTATTGCATAGAACGCGTACGATCCGACTGGAAGACGATAACGAGAACGCAGGATCAAGAAGAAATGTGGAAGAGCGCGAAACTTGGTCGCAGCATCGCGGGCTTTTGCGCCGGTTTCATGCAAGGTACAATATTCTGCACATGCTTCGTGCTGGGGGCGTTTAAACGGACCGTCGAGGTCGGCAACAAAACCATGGATATATATACTTTACCTTGTCCGGCGTACAAATTCCCAGTGCAGACAAATCCGACGCACGACGTGATTCTTGGTACACAATTTCTGTCGGCACTGGTAGTGAGTTCGAGTGCCGCAGGTTCCTTTACTCTTGCTACCATATTCGCAAGCCACGCTCTTGGCCAGTTGACTATAATGGTGACGTGGGTGAACGAGTTCACAAAGCGGTCCGGAGAAAAGATGAAGAAGGCTCAGACTAACGAAATAGGTACAATCGTTGAACATCATTTGAGAGTTCTAAGGTAATGTACAATTTTGAATTTTCCTTCTGATTCGATGGTAAATTTGCCTAACGGAATGTTAAATGCAGTTTGATAGCGCGCATCGAACGTATAATGAGTCCAATATGCTTCATGGAAACGTTCAAATGTATGCTGGGTATGTGCATGCCTAGCTATTACATCCTTGCGGTATGCTAAACATATTAAGAAATATCTATGGTAATATCATGGGTCTACCGATCAAAAACAACATTCCAAGTAGTTTTACATCTGTGTAAAATGACGAATGATGGAAATATTGTTCCGTAGACCTATAATAATTGTTTCTTTGTGTCTCTATGTTCAAAGTAATTTGTTTGGTCGTACATTGACCACTACTACTGCGGACATTCGACGAAGTCGCCGAATGTCGATTATTTGTTTAAAACGTGAACAACACATAAACTGTCTAATCAAAGATATTTTTTTCGCCAGGAATGGTCTGAACGCAATATCCAAGCCATGATCATATATGTGATGGTATTTTTATCCATGACTTTTAACATTTTCTTAGTATGTTACATCGGCGAAGTACTCAAAGAACAGGTAATGAACTGACGACAAAGTAAGCTGAAATTTTAAATTGTAATCAGTTAGCTGTGTGCGATTAATCGTAACTCACCAGTTGTATTCCATATTTGACAGTGTCAAAAAGTCGGTGACATGGTGTACTTGACGAACTGGTACCACTTGCCTGACAAAGAAATTCTTAATATGCTTATGATCATTTCACGATGTAACGTGGAGGTTAAAATAACAGCTGGGAAGATAATTACCATGTCTGTGTATACTTTCGGCAGCGTACGTCCATTTAATGCTCATTCGTAAAAAGTAATGTCACTGATGATCGAAGAGATATCGCAATTATTAATTTATGATATCGTTTGCAATTCCAGATAGTAAGAACTGTTTTCGCGTATTTGAATATGCTTCGTCAAATGACGATGATGTAGACCACGTGATAGGTATTTATATAACATATACAATATTTAGATAATAAACAATACAATATTTAGATACAATATTTAGATAAATTTTAAACGTAAATGTGAAATTGAATATATAGAGATCCCTTTTATCTTTTATGTGCAGATGTGCCATTGCAAACATTAAAATTACGTAACTTTCTGAAAAATCGAATTCCAAATTCTTACCCGTTCAATTCCAATTCCAAATTGAACCAATCCATCAAATGTCTATTAATCCTGCTGTTCTCACTTTTTCTTCGCAACTATATATCCTTCGGGATACCTTCTTCCCATTTTTTGAAACAATCTGTTCGTGAAAAGCAAGAAATATTAGCATACTAAAACTGGATGTTTCTGTATTGAAATATGGTTTTCATTTCAAACGAGAACAGCAGGTTGAAACAAAATGACAGAAACTATCGTCCACGTATATACTGTGTATCGTGCTATAAAGCCGAGACACATCTGTCACGACACAAACCCAAACACTAGTCTGCCAAGAAGCAACGTGTTATTACGGCGTACGTGATGGCTATCGATCACGAAATGAAAAAAAAAGTTGTATTCATCCAGTTTTGCGCTTGCGTCTCTTTCGGCGGCGTTCCGGGCACAGTCTCGGCGAGTCCAGTCGACGCTCGACGATCGAAGCGTCAGCATGCGATCCTCCAGCTACGTCGACGATGACTCTCCACCGAACAGTCGTTACAAAACCGACGTACGTCGCGCGTTTCAGTTTTGTCACTGGGTCTGGAAGCCCTTGGGCATCTACGCGTTCATCTACAACCGTCCGAACAAATTCGAGAAAATGACGTCCGTGGCGTTGATCCTTATCAGCTGTTCAATCCTGCAATTCGTCATCGTGCCGTTCGGTTATTACACATTGTTCTACGAGAGAGACATTGACACGAAGATCAAATTCATGGGCCCGTTGACATTTTGTTTAACGACGCTGATCAAGTACGGTTACCTGGGCATAAAGAGTTCGGAACTCGGTCGTTGCGTGAAACACGTCGAGGAGGATTGGAGGATGCTGCGAGACGACGATCATCGAACGATCATGGTTCGATACTTAACCATGGGCAGAAACCTGATCACATTGTGCGCGGCGTTTATGTACACCGGCGGTCTGTCTTATCACACGATCATGCCGTTACTATCCAAGAGGATCAGTGAGAACGTCACGATCAGGCCGCTCACTTATCCTGGCTACGAGGTGTTTTTCGATATTCAGGAAAGCCCCACGTACGAGATCGTGTATTGCATGCACTGCGTCTACGTTTTAATCTCGGGCAACATCACGATGGCTGCGTACAGTTTGACGGCGATTTGCACCACGCACGCCTGCGGACAGATCAAGATACAAACGTCGAGGCTGAAGAACTTGAGGGAGGATAGAAAGGCGTTGAAAAACGAGATCGAGGATTGTTTGGCCGTTGTCGTGAGGGAGCACGCGAAGATTTTGAGGTAAGGTGATTGAATAATTGTGGTTTTAATGGGAAAAGTGACACGAACGAAGGAATTTTTAAACTGAGAGAACTGGTGGACCTTCGTACGAAAATTGGATTATTGATGATTTGAAAAATTAAATTAAATTAAATTATTATCTAGTTCTGAAAGTTCATGACTGTAATGTTTCTCTTTTAAAAAAAGAGATACATTTCTATCACGTTTCTGTTTTAATTAAATATTATTGTGATAACAAATTTAACTTACCTACAAAGACAGGTGTTCGAAATTGCAGATTCACGAAAAACATTGAGACAGCGTTACAACAGCTATTTTTGATAGAAGTAGTAACATCCACGTTGCTGATATGCTTGCTCGAATACTACTGCATGACAGTAAGAATGAAATAAATCCCTATTTATTTCTATCCAATTCTAGTGACAAAAAGCCGAGTGTATCGTCAACAAATCTGTACCTATGTATGCAAGAAACTCTAATCGTAAGCCAAATATCTTTCAGGAATGGGAAACAAGCGATTCGGCCGCGGTATCAACGTACTTCATGCTTCTAACTTCTTTCACATTCAATATATTTATATATTGTTACGTAGGCGAACTCCTTCTTGGACAGGTACTTCTGAAAAGAAAAAAAAAAAGAAAAAAATATCATACTCCGAGAATCGATTCATTCACAAAATTGCTCGCCTCATTCTTCGTTACCATTTTTCCAACGTAGACAGTCACCATTGGCATAATAGACATGAGTGTTGTACCAGGGTAGCGAAATCGCGACAGCTTTGTACGACATAGAATGGTACAATTTAGCTGGGAGGAAAGCTCGTGACATCGTTCTGGTGCTCGCCATATCGAAATACCCGGTGAAACTCACGGCTGGAAAAATACTCGTTCTATCGATGAATACTTTTGGCGTGGTAAGTGATCCAGAACTGGAAATGAAATTTCCAACGAATAATTTCCATTGGTTCATTGCTTTCAGGTGTTGAAATCGTCGTTGGTTTATCTGAACATGCTACGAACGATTACTGAACTCTAATCGAAATCACCAAGACGTGACAAACAGAGAGACGTTGTAAAAAGAGCTATTTTAATGTGAACAAATTATTTACGTATTGATAATAATTTGATAAATAAAATTATATGATACGTATATGTATCAAACAAAATCTTGAAACATTAAAAATTTTTACAGAGAGAGAGAGAGAGAGAGAGAGAGAGAGATAGAGAGTGAATTTAAAAAGCGATTTCACAAGGTTCTTCTGAATTTCAATTTCCTTCCTCTTGTTTATTTCCTTAGCAATAGTATAGAATGAAAAAAGGAATTTTTCATTTAAAAAAGAAAACATATCATACCGTAGAGCAAAACAGTTAGTTAAAAGTTAAACATCAATTTGAAAAATAATATAACTTACATGAATGTTCTGCCAACATGGAACACACCACAAGAACGATGAAAATTTTTAAAAATGACAACATATTTATAATAGACTTAGCATTCGATCAAACGATTTCTCTCTACCATCCTTTCGCTCTGTCACCCCTCCAACGAACGTCTATGAACATACTGCTGAAAATAAAGCAAAAGAACCGCGTAGACAATAATTATCGACGAATGCTTCCCCACTACGTACACCCCTACTCCCAAAGCGCACGCACCTGATAAAGTTCGTAGAAACGAAGAAACGTGCGCTTGCGTTCTGACGGAACATTGTACTTGACCAGTCGCCACTGCACACCGGAGCCGTCATTATGCATGATCGATCACAGGCCATAGTTGACGGACAGCTGAAAAACATTCATTACAAGAACGACATACATTACACGCTGCAAATGTGCGAATGGCTGTTCAAACTAATCGGGATGTGGCCTCTGATCAACAGTCGCGCAAGTAAACTGCAACAGCTCCTCTCGATCGTTCTCATAAGCTCGAGCTTCTCTAGCATGCTCTTCATCATCATACCATCCTTCCATCACATCTTCTTCGTGGAGAAAAATACGGCCACGAAACTGAAAATGCTCGGTCCAGTTGCTTTCTGTTTCTCGTCGGCGATCAAGTATTGCTACCTTGGCACGAAGGGACGCTTCTTCGAACGATGTTTCCAACACGTCAGGAAGGACTGGAAGAAGGTGCACGATCCAAATTACCGGACGGTCATGCTGAAATACGCGGCGATCAGCAGGAAGCTAATCACGGCATGCGCGGCTTTCTTATTCAGCGGTGGCCTGTCGTATCACACGGTAATGCAATTTGTGTCGAAAAGGGACAGAGAGGAGAATAGCACGTACAGGCCACTGGTTTATCCCGGCTACGATTCATTCATGGACACTCAGCCCAGCCCTACGTACGAAATCGTGTTTTCTCTTCACTGTTTCGCGGATATAATCATGTACAGCGCCGCGACGGCCGCATACAGTTTGGCGGCGATCTTTGTCACCCACATTTGTGGACAGATTCAAATACAGATTGCAAAGATACACAATTTAGTGAAGGACAAAGAGAGGAAGAATGGCGAACGCGATCCTCTATCACTTATCGTATACGAACACGTGCAAATTCTAAGGTAAGGAATACATTTTGTAACGAGAAACGTACGTAAACGTTGGAGAAGCATGTGCGTGGATATTTTAGATTTTCGCAAAATGTGGAAGACGCTTTGCGAGAGGTCTGCTTCGTGCAAATCGTCGAGTCAACGATGAACATGTGTTTGCTCGAGTATTACTGCATAATGGTAAGAAATTAAATTATCTATTTGTGTTAAACCAAAGTAATTCAAGATTTGACGGACACCTGTTATTCGTAAAATATTTCAGGCATGGAGAAACAATGACATACTCGCGACAGTGACTTGCGCCACTTTGTTGGTCTCTTTCACATTTAATGTATTTATATTCTGCTACGTGGGCGAACTCCTCTCTGAACAGGTAGTTGCAAAAGAATTTCGTTCGTATAGATATACTCCGTTTTATCAAGTACTCTCAATGATCGTAATTAGTGTAGACAAGTCGGTGAAAATTCCTACAATATCAAATGGTATAACTTGCCAGCTACGGACGCTTACGATCTTATTCTACTGATCTCCATATCTCAGTATCCACCAAAGCTTACAGCTGGAAAAATAATCGAATTATCTCTTGATACTTTTAGCTGTGTGAGTTTATATTTTTGTAGTAATATCGGCACCGCGAAACAATTAAATAACAGCTTTACACTTATCTATTTTCAGGTAGCAAAATCGTCACTAGTTTACCTGAATTTAATTCAAACGTTTACAGAATGGTAATAAAACATACAGCTTTTTTTTAACGTTGCCATATAATCACTATACTCTGTACAATTGTTTTATTATTGCGAAAAATTATTTTACAGATATCTCGATTGCCAACCGAAGTCTACGTAGTTTAATCAATTTTCTTGATTACATCTGAAGTCCATTCTTGAATTATTTTGATATTGGATTTTATAATACACAGAAGACAAAAATTACGTGTTAAATAATTCAAAGTTAAATCTTATGACATTAAATACTGAATTAGTGACTAAACTGAAATTTATAAGACATTTCTCATTTCTCTTTTTCCTGTTATTTTCTCCAATGATGATAAAATGCAAATTTTCTCATTTTCCAGAAATGCGAATTTTCTCATTTTCATAAGAGAGAAACTTTACAGACAGTTTACTCGCACACTTACAAACAATTTTTTTAAACAAAACGGATGTACAATGTTCCACCAAAGAATAAACATTATTAGAAAATTTAAGTGAACCTACCACAAACATGTGCATGTCAATGATTTCTTTGTACCATAACTTCACTTGAACTCTTCTGCAATGACTAGAGATCCTGAAAAGGCAAAAAAAAGGTGAACCCTCGCTTACCTTACTATCATAGAAAGTTTCCCCTTCGTATATACTTCTTTTAATCATGAAATGCACACAGGTTGAAGCTCATTGTACACATACGCAGACACGAAAAGACACGCGCTTGCGTCCTGACAATGTCGTGCCGAAAGTTTCTTTTCCGCCGAACAGTCGACGATGTGCAGTGCAAGTGTCAGCATGTATGATCGATCATACGCAAGAGTTGACGAACAACTGAGAAACATCCATTACAAGAACGATATACAGTACGCGCTACAAATATCCGAATGGCTATTGAAACTAATCGGAATGTGGCCTTTCGTTAACAGTCACGCTACAAATAAACTGGGACAGCTCGTTTCGGTTATTTTGATAAGCACGTGCTTCTCTAGTATACTCTTCATCATCTTACCGACTCTTCATCATATCTTCTTCGTGGAGAAAAATACGTACATGAAAGTGAAAATGATCGGCCCAGTTAGTTTCGGTTTCTCGTCTGCGATCAAGTACTGCTACCTTGGCACGAAGGGGCATTTCTTCCAACGATGTATCCAGCACGTGAGAAAGGATTGGAAAACGGTGCACGATCCAAATTACCGAACGATCATGCTGAAATACGCGGCGATCAATAGAAAGTTCATCACGGTATGCGCGGCTTTCTTATACAGCGGTGCACTGTTGTATTACACGGTGATGCAATTTCTGTCGAAGGGAAATAATGGGAAAAATAACACGTTCAGACCGCTGGCATATCCTGGCTCTGATGCGTTCTTGGATTCTCAGTCTAGTCCTACGTACGAAATCGTGTTTTCTATTCACTGCATCACGGGGATAATCATGTGCAGTATCACGATACTTACGTACAGTTTAGCTGCGACATTTGTTACGCACGTTTGTGGACAAATTCAGATACAAATAACAAGACTGCAAGATTTGGTAAACAGTAAAAAGAGGAATGACGGTGGACGTGATCCTCTCTCTGTTATCGTATACGATCATGTGAAAACTTTAAGGTAAGGAACATCAGTTATGATATGGAAGAGACGTTAGAGAAGCAACTACATGGATATTTTAGATTTTCGAAAAATGCAGATGAGGCTTTGCGAGAAATATGCTTGGCTCAAATCGTAGAATCCACGGTTATTATGTGTTTCCTAGAATATTATTGCATAGTGGTATGAAATTAAATCAGTATCTACTCATGTTGCAGACTACTTGGGAAAGTTACATTCACTGTGATTGTGGAAACATGTCATTTATTATGTATTTTTCAGGAGTGGCGAAACAACGACGCAATCGCGATAATAACTTATATCACTCTGTTCATCTCTTTCACATTTAATATATTTGTAATTTGTTACATAGGCGAAGTCCTCACTCAACAGGTAGTTGAAAACGAATTTCGCTAATTTAGATATTATCTGTTTTGTTCTCAATTACGTAAAGTATTCAGTAATGTAAACATTCTAAATAATCGTTAATTAGTGTAGCCAAATCGGTATAAATTCTTATAAAATCAAATGGTATGACTTGCCAGCTAAGAACGCTTACGATCTTATACTGTTGATCTGCATATCTCAATACCCACCAAGACTTACTGCCGGAAATATCATCCAATTGTCTCTCAACACTTTTAGCTCCGTGAGTTTATATTTTCGCCAGTGTACTGAAAACAGTGTTTCACACATTATTTATTTTCAGGTAGCGAAAACGTCGCTAGCTTATCTCAACATACTACGAACATTTACAGACTGGTAATGAAATGAAACCTGCATTTTTTTATAATACCACAAAATTAGCATAGCTACCGTAATTCTTTTACTTTTGTGAAAATAATTTTTGTAGATAACCGTTTCCAAGTATGACGTTGACGATGTACCTGAGTTCCTAGTAGTTCGATTAACTTTCCATAGCAATTTGAAGTTAGAAGATATAGCTGAATTATTTTAATGTTAGATTCTAGAATACACAGAAAATAGAATTCGGTAATAAATAATTGTAGGCTCAATGTTATGACATTAAATACTGAATTACTGACTGAACTGAACTTTATAAAGTTTCATCTCATTTCGTTATTTCCTATACTCACTTTCTTCTTCGCTATCCACTGAAAATAAAATCTTGATCCCATATTTCCAGAGAAGCAAATTCTGTGCTTTTCATAAATCACGAAACAAAGTTTACAGACAATTTTCTGAATTAAAAAAACACAACATCATTTTTTTAAAGCTAAACAAATGTACACGGTACAGTTCCACAAAAGAAACTCATTTCTTTCATTGTTAGAAAATTTAAGATTTCAATCACTATTAAACAATTCAAGATAACTCACTGTTAGCATAAACATGTGCTTATTATCCGAATGATTTCTCCGTACTATAACTTCACTCGATCTCTCATGCAACAAATGTAAAACCTGCAAAACACAAGAGAAAACGTGAGCGTTCACCTATTATCGACGAAAGTTCCCCCTTCGTATATACTTTCCTTATTCATGAAACGCACACATGTGGCTAAAGTTCACTCCACACATTCGCGGTTGAAGTTCATTGTACACATTCGCAGAAACGAAACGATTATTCGACACGCGCTTGCGTTCTGTCAACGTTATGTCGAATATTTCTCTCCTACCCATCAGTCGCCTCTGTGAACCCGCGTCGTCAGTATGTATGATCGATCATACGTCAAAGTTGACGGAAAACTGAGAAACGTTCATTACAACAACGACATACACTACACGCTGCAACTGTGCGAATGGCTGTTCAAAATAATAGGAATGTGGCCCCTCGTCAACAATCACAACAGAAGTAAACTGCAGCAACTCGTCACGATCGTTCTGATAAGCACATGCTTCTCAAGCATGCTCTTCATCGTCCTACCATCCTTTCATCACATCTTCTTCGTGGAGAAAAATACGGATATGAAAGTGAAAATGCTCGGCCCAGTTAGTTTCTGTGTCTCGTCTGCGATCAAGTACTGCTACCTTGGTACTAAAGGACACTTCTTCCAACGATGTATCCAGCACGTCAGGAAGGACTGGAAAACGGTTCACGATCCAAATTACCGAACGATCATGCTGAAATACGCGGCGATTAGCAGGAAGCTAATCACGGTATGCGCGGCTTTCTTATACAGCGGTGGAATGTCGTATCACACGGTAATGCAGTTTCTGTCTAAGGGGGGTGAAGAGGAAAATAACACGTACAGACAACTGGCTTATCCTGGCTACGATTCGTTCTTGGATTCACAGTCCACTCCTACGTATGAAATCGTGTTTTCTATTCACTGTATCACGGCAATAATCATGTACAGCACGGCGACGGCTGCGTACAGTTTGGCGGCGATCTTTGTTACCCACATTTGTGGACAGATTCAGATACAGATAGCAAGGCTGCACAATTTGGTGAAGAGCAAACAGAAGAAAGATGTCCGGCCTGATCCTCTATCCGTCATCGTACACGATCATGCGGAAATTTTAAGGTAAGCAATACATTTTGTACAACACGAAACGTATATAAACGTTAAAGAAGCAAGCGCATGAATGTTTTAGATTTTCGAAAAATGTAGAAGATGCGTTGCGAGAAGTGTGTTTCGCACAAATCGTCGAGTCAACGATGAACATGTGTTTGCTCGAGTATTATTGCATAATGGTAAGAAGTTAAATCAACATCAATTCGTGTTAATCCAAATTGATTCAAGATTACAGGAATCTATTATTCGTAAAATATTTTAGGGATGGCGAAACAGCGACGCGGTCGCGACAATGACGTGTGCTACATTGTTGGTCTCGTTCACATTTAATGTATTTATATTCTGTTACGTAGGCGAACTCCTCTCTGAACAGGTAGTTGCAAAGGAATTTCTCTTGTCTAAGAATTCTCTGTTTTGTCAAATAATTTCAATGATCGTAATTAGTGTAGACAAATCGGTGTAAACTCCTACAATATCGAATGGTACAACTTGTCAGCTAAGGACGCTTACGATCTTATCCTACTGATCTCTATATCTCAGTATCCACCAAAGCTTACGGCTGGGAAAGTAATTGAATTATCTCTCGACACCTTTAGCTCTGTGAGTTTACATTTTTGTAGTAGTGCTGTAAAACAATTAAATCGGTACCGCGAAACAATTAAATCACAGCTTTACACTTACTCATTTTCAGGTAGCAAAAACGTCGCTAGTTTATTTGAATTTACTTCAAACGCTTACAGACTGGTAATGAATCATACATTTTTTTCTATATAATTACTATAATCACTGCAATTTTTTTATCGCCGCGAAAACTTATTTTACAGATGTTCCGTTTCCCAACCGAGGTCTACGTAATTTGTTTAATGCTCTGGATAAAATCTGAAACTAATTGTTGAATTGTTTTAATGTTTAGATTCGAAAATACATAGCAAACAGAATTACATAACAAATATTTGAAGAATAAATCTAACGACATTAAATACTGAATTAATGACTGAACTTTATAGAACTTTATTTTATCTCTCTTTCTCCTATACTCACTTTTTTCTTCACTTCCCAATAAAGATAAATTCTTGATCTCACATTTCCAGAGACGTAAATTTTTTTCTTTTAATAAGCAACTCAAGAGAAAAAGTTTACAGGCGGCTTACTGACCTAAAAAATATAATATCATTTTTATCAAAACAAAACAGACGTATAAGATTTCACAAAAGAATATTCTAGTAATCACTGGAAAATTTTAAAAAGCCTAGCACAAACATGCGTTTATCAATGATTTCTCTGTACTGCAACTTCATTGGATCTCTTCTGCAACGAACGTAGAAACCTATAAAAAAAGAAAGAAGGTGAAGGCACACTTATTATCGACAAAAGTTTGACCCTTCGTTTATACTTCTCTCGTTCATGAAGCGCACACAGGTGGTTGAAGTTCATCGTACATGTTCATAGAAACACGCTTGCGTTCTGACGATATTGCGTCGAATGTTTCTCTCCCACCGAACAGTCACCGTTGTGCACCGGAGCTCTCAGCATGCATGTTCGATCACACGTCAGAGTTGACGGACAATTGAGAAACGTCCACGACGAGAACGACATACACGCTACAAATGTGCGAATGGCTGTTTAAACTAATCGGAGTGTGGCCCCTTGTCAGTGACACCAGAAGTAAATTGCAACAGCTCGTCTCGATCGTTTTGATAAGCACGTGCTTCTCCAGTATACTCTTCATCGTTTTACCAACTTTCCATCATATCTTCTTCGTGGAGAAAAATACGGATATAAAAGTGAAAATGATCGGCCCAGTTAGTGTCTCCTCTGCGATCAAGTATTGCTACCTTGGACATTCCTTCGAACGATGTATCCAGCACGTCAGGAAAGATTGGAAAACGGTTCACGATCCAAATTACCGAACGATCATGTTGAAATACGCGAAGGTCAGCAGGAAGCTCAACACGGTATGCGCATCTTTCTTGTACAACGGTGTATTGTTATTTCACACGTAATGCAGTTTTCGGCAAAGGAAAAGAGTGGGGAAGACAGCACGTTCAGGCCACTGGCTTATCCTGGCTACGATTGGTTCTTGGATACTCAGTCGAATCCTACGTACGAAATCATGTATTCTGTTCATTGTTTTACGGGAATGATCATGTGCAGTATCACGATGCTTGCGTACAGTTTGGCTGCGACGTTCGTTACCCACATTTGTGGACAAATCAGATAGCAAGACTGCACGATTTGGTGGAGAGCAAACTGAGGGAAGATGTCGAGCCTAATCTTCTGTCTGTTATCATGCACGATCATACGGAAATTTTAAGGTAAGGAATGCTTCTTGTAACACGAGCCTTATATAAACGTGATGGAACAAAGAATGTGGATATTTTAGATTTTCGAGAAATGTAGAACAAGCGTTGCGGGAAGTGTGTTTCGCGCAAATCGTCGAGGCCACGATGAATATATGTTTGCTTGAATGTTATTGCATAATGGTAAAAAAATTACATTAACATCCATTCGTGTTAATTAATTAATTGACAAATTAATCAAGATTACTGTGAGCCTGTTATTCGTAAAATATTTCAGGCATGGCGGAACAATGACGTATTCACAATAATGACTTGTACTGTTTTGTTGATCTCTTTCACATTTAATGCATTTATATTCTGCTACGTAGGCGAATTCTTCTCAAATCAGGTAGTTGCACAAAAATTTTATTTGCTTAGATATTCTCTGTTCTATCAAATACTCTCGACGATCATAATTAGTGTAGACAAATCGGTGCAAATTCTTACATGATCGAATGGTATAACTTGCCAATTAAGGACGCTTACGATCTTATCTTCTTATCTCCACCAAAACTTACAGCTGGAAAAATAATCGAATTATCTCTCGGCACTTTTAGCTCTGTGAGTTTACATTTTTGTAGTAGTATTAGTGAGACAATTAAACCAAGACATTACATTTGACTATTTTCAGATTGCAAAAACGTCGCTGGTTTACTTGAATTTACTTCAAACGCTTACAGACTGGTAATGAAGCTTACATTTTTTTTGATGTTGCAGTGTAATTACTATAATCACTGAATTTGTTTTATCTTCGCGAAAAATGATTTTTCAGATAACATGTTTCTCAAACGAAGTCTACGTGGTTCGTTCAACTTTCTGAATTAAATCTGAAGTTTATTCCTGAATTATTTTAATGTTAGATTCTAAAGTACTCTGAAAATAAAATAACGTAATAAATATTTGAAAGTGAAATCTTATGATATTAAATATCGAATTAGTGACTGGAACTTAATAAAACTTTATCTCACGTTCCGTTTTCCTATACTTACTTTTTTCTTCGCTGAAGATAAAATCTTGATGTCACACTTACAGAGATGCAAATTTTCTCCTCTTTATAAATGACTTTACAAATCTTACAGGCGGATTATCTACTCAAAAAGTATATCACTTTTTTTTAAGCAAAACAGACCTATAAAAGGAAATTACTACTTTCACTATTAGAAAATCCAAGAAAACGTGGCACAAACATGTACTTGTTATCCGAATCTCTGTAACTTCACTAAATCTCTTCTGGAACAAATGTAGAACATATAACAGACAAAAAAAAAAAATACGAACGCTGCCGTTATCGACAAAAGTTTCCCCTTCGTTTATACTTCTCTCATTCATGACACAGGTGGTTGAAGTTCGTAGAAAAATAGAACGACACGCGCTTGCGTTCTGACAATGTTGTGTCGAAAGCTCCTCTCCCACCGATCAGTCGACGATGTGCCCTGGAACCGTCAGTATGCATGATCGATCATACACCAGAGTTAACTGTCAGTTGAGGAACGTTCATTACGACAACGACATACAGTACTCGCTACAAATGTGTGAACGGCTACTAAAAGTAATCGGAATATGGCCTTTCGTCAACAGTCATACTAGAAATAACCTGGAACAGCTCGCCTGGATTATTTTGATAAGCACGTGTTTCTCCAGCATGCTCTTCGTCACTTTACCATCCTTCTACCACATTTTCTTCGTGGAGAAGAACATGCTTGTACAAGTAAAGCAGCTCGGCCCGTTTACTTTCTGTATCTCGTCTACAATCAAGTATTGCTATCTTGGACTGAAAGGGCCATTCTTCGAACGATGTATCCACCATGTGAAGAAGGACTGGAAAACGGTTCACGATCCAAATCATCGTACGATCATGCTGAAGTACACGACGGTCAGCAGGAAGCTTATCACGGTGTGCGCAGCTTTCTTATACAGCGGTGGACTGTTGTTTCACACGGTAATGCAGATTCTGTCGAAGGAAAAGACCGGGGCAAATGATACTTTCAGACCAACCCTGACTTACCCTGGCACTGATTTGTTCCTGGATTCTCAGTTTAGTCCTACGTACGAAATCGTGTTTTCTATTCAGTGTTTGACTGGTATGATCATGTGTAGTATCACTATGCTTGCGTACAGTTTGGCTGCGACATTTGTTACGCACGTTTGTGGACAAATTCAGGTACAAATAGCAAGACTGCAGGATTTGGTGGAGAATGAAAGGAGGAAGGATGGTGGACGAGATCCTCTGTCTGTTATCGTACACGATCACGTGAAAACTTTAAGGTAAGGAATATCCTTTTCTGATATGGAAGAAACGTTAGAGAAGCTAGTACATGGATATCTTAGATTTAGATGGCTATTTTAGATTTTCGAAAAATGCAGAAGAAGCGTTGCGAGAAATATGCCTGGCTCAAATAGTCGAGTCTACGGTTGTTATGTGTTTGCTAGAATATTATTGTATAATGGTAAGAAATTAAATCAGTATCAACTCATGTTGGAGACTACTTGGGAAAATTACATTCACCGTGATTGTAGAAGCATGTTATTTGTTATATATTTTTCAGGAATTGCGAAACAACGACGCAGTCGCGATTATAACTTATGTCACTCTGTTCATCTCCTTTACATTTAACATATTTATATTTTGTTACATAGGCGAACTCCTTTCTGAACAGGTATTTGCAAACGAATTTCGCTAAATTAGTCATTATCTGTCTCGTTAAATATTCTCAATAATCGTAATTAGTGTAGCCAAATCGGTATAAATTCTTATAAAATCGAATGGTATAACTTGCCAGCTAAAAACGCTTACGATCTCATTCTGTTGATCTCCATATCTCAATATCCACCGAAGCTTACGGCCGGAAAGATCATCGAATTATCTCTCAACACTTTTAGCTCCGTAAGTTTATATTTTTGTTATTCCACTGTCATCGTGGAAATAAAGTTTTTGTCTATTTTCAGGTAGCGAAAACATCGCTTGTTTATCTGAATTTGCTACAAACATTTACAGACTGGTAAAGAAATCTAAATTTTTCTAATACTACCCATAAAATTATCATAAATATCGTAATTGTTTTAATACTGTAAAAATACTTTTCTAGATATCTGTTTCCAAGTATGACGTTGAAGATGTACCTGAGCTCTACGTAGTTTGATTAATATTCTGGAGCAAATCTGAAGTTTATTCTTGAATTATTTTAATTTTCGATTCTAAAATACACAGAAAACAAAATTCTATAATAAATAAAAATTATATAAGGCTAAATATAATCTAAGGTGAGGCTAAATTTCGTAACGTTAAATACTGAATTAGTGATACAACTGAATTTACAAAACTTTGTCCCAATTCTTTTCTTCAAATACTTACTTTTTTTTCACTATCGACTGAAGATAAAATTTTGATGTCGCATTTCCAGAGATGCAAATTTTTTTCTTTTTATAAATCACGAAACCAAGCTTCCAGACAATTTACTGAATTAAAAAACACAACATCATTTTTTTAAAGCTAAACAGATTTACACGGTACAGTTTCACAAAAGCAACTCATTCCTTTCATTGTTTGAAAATTTAAAATTTCAATCATTATTAAACAATTTAAGAAAACTAACTGTTGGCATAAACATGTGCTTATTATCCAAATGATTTCTCGGTACTACACTTCACTCGATTTCTTATGCAACGAATGTAGAACCTGCAAAAAACAAGAGAAAGCGTGAGCGCTCACCTATTACCAACGAAAATTTCCTCTTCGTATATACTTTCCTTCATGAAACGCACATATGTGGCTGAAGTTCTTTCTACAGATTCGCAGAAACGAAACGATACGCGCTTGCGTTCTGACAATGTTGCATCGGCCACGATTCTATCCTGTTGATCAGTCGCCTCTGTAAAACAGCGTCGTCAGAATGTATGATGGATCATACGTCAAAGTTAAACTGAGAAACGTTCATTACGACAACGACATACATTACACGCTGCAAATGTGCAAATGGCTGCCCAAATTAGTCGGAGTGTGGCCTCTGGTCAACAGTCACACTAGAAGTAAACTAGAACAACCACTCTCCATCATTCTGATAAGCACGTGCTTCTCCAGTATACTTTTCATCGTCTTACCATCTTTTCATCATATCTTCTTCGTGGAGAAAAATACGTACATGAAAGTGAAATTGATCAGCCCATTTAGTTTCTGTGTCTCGTCTGTGATCAAGTACTGCTACCTTGGTAAGAAGGGGCATTTCTTCCAACAATGTATCCAGCATATGAGGCAAGACTGGAAAACGGTTCACGAGCCTAATTACTGAACGATCATGTTGAAATACGCGGCAATCCGTAGGAAGTTCATCACGGTATGTGCGACTTTCTTATACAGCAGTGGAATATCCTATCACACGGCAATGCAATTTCTGTCTAAGGAGGGTGAAGAGAAAAATAACACGTACAGACAACTATCCTGGCTACGATTTGTTCTTGGATACTCAGTCTAGTCCTATGTACGAAATCGTGTTTTCTATTCATTGTATTACGGCAATGATCATGTACAGCACGGCGACGGCTGTCTACAGTTTGGCAACGATCTTTGTTACCCACATTTGTGGACAAATTCAGATACAGATAGCAAGACTGTAGAATTTGGTGAAGAGCAAACAGAAGAAAGATATCGGTCCTGATCGTCATCGTACATGATCATGCGGAATTCTTAAGGTAGGGAATACTTTTTGTAACACGAACCGTATATAAACGTTAAAGAAGCAAGCGCTTGAATATTTTAGATTTTCGAGAAATGTAGAAGAAGCGTTCCGAGAAGTGTGTTTCGCACAAATTGTCGAATCAACGATGAACATGTGATTGCTCGAGTATTATTGCATAGTGGTAAGAAATTAAATCAACTTCTATTCGCGTTAATCCAGATTAACTCAAAATCATTCAATGTTATAAAATATATTAAAAAATACTGTAAAATATTTTAGAAATAGCGAAACAGCGATGCAACCGCGGTAATAACTTATGTCACGTTGTTCATCTTCTTTACATTTAATGTGTTTATATTTTGTTACATAGGCGAAATCCTCACTGAGCAGGTATTTGCAAAAAAATTTCGCTAATTTAGTCATTATCGGTTTTATTGAATATTCTAAATAATTGTTAATTAGTGCAGACAAATCGGTGTAAATTCTTATAAAATCGAATGGTATAACTTGCCAGCTAAGAATGCTTACGATCTCATTCTGTTGATCTCCATATCTCAATATCCACCAAAACTTACGGCCGGAAAAATCATCGAATTATCTCTCGACACCTTTAGCTCCGTGAGTTTATATTTTTATTATTGTACTGATATCGTGAAAACAAAATTTTACACACTTGTCTATTTTCAGGTAGCAAGAACATCGCTTGTTTATCTCAACTTGCTACGAACATTTGCAGACTGGTAGTGAATCCTTTCTTAATATTACCATAAAATTAGCATAACTGCCATAATTGTCTTCATTATTGAAAAAATAATTTTGCAGATATCCCTTTCAAAGCATAATGTTGATGATTAACTTGAGTTCTTCGTAGTTTAATTCATATTCTGGAGCAAGTGTGAAGCTTGTAGTTGAAATATTTTAATGTTAAGTTCTAAAATACACAGAAAATAAAATTTGGTGATAAATATTTGTAGATTAAATGATATGACAATTAATACTAAATTACACATTAAATTACTGACTGAGCTCTACTTTAAAGAACTTTATATGATTTCCCTTTTTCCCATATTTACTTTCACTATCAACTGAAGATAAAATCTCGATCTCACATTTTCAGAAAGCAAATTATTTCCTTTTTATAAATAATGACACAATCTTTCGAGCCAATTTACTTGAAAAATATAATACTAATTCTCTGAATAAGACAGACGTACAAAATTCCACAAAAGAATATTCCAGTCGTCATTAGAAAATTGAACAAAAGCTAGCACAAACATGTGCTTATTGCACGAATGATTTCTGTACTATAACTTCGTTCGAACTCTCCCGCAACGAACGTAGAGCTTAAACTAGACAAAAAAAAACATGGTGGCACACTTATTATCGTCGAAAGTTTCCCCTTCGAATCTACTTCCCTCATTTGTGAAACACAGAAAGTTCGTTAGTTGAAGTTCACAGAAACAAAACCACACGCGCTTGCGTTCTGACAATGTCGTGTCCAAAGCTTCTTTCCCGCCGATCAGTCGACGATGTGCAGCGCAAGCGTCAGTATGAATGATCGATCATACGTTAAACTTGACGGACAACTGAGAAACATCCACTACGAGAATGACATACATTACACGCTGCAAATGTGCGAATGGCTGCTCAAATTAGTCGGAGTGTGGCCTCTGGTCAACAGTCATACTAGAAGTAAACTACAACAACTACTCTCCATCGTTCTGATAAGCACGTGCTTCTCCAGTATACTTTTCATCGTCTTACCATCTTTTCATCATATCTTCTTCGTGGAGAAAAATACGTACATGAAAGTGAAATTGATCGGACCATTTAGTTTCTGTGTCTCGTCTGTGATCAAGTATTGCTACCTTGGTACGAAGGGACACTTCTTCGAACGATGTTTCCAGCACGTCAGAAAGGACTGGAAAACAGTCCACGATTCAAATTACCGAACGATCATGCTGAAATACGCAACGGTCAGCAGAAAACTCATCACGGTATGCGCATCTTTCTTATACAGCGGTGTAGTGTTGTTTCACACGGTAATGCAGTTTTTGTCGAAGGAAAAAAATGCGGAAAATAATACGTTCAGACCACTGATTTATCCTGGCTACGATTCGTTCTTCGATACTAAGTCCAGTCCTACGTACGAAATCATGTATTCTGTTCATTGTTTTACGGGAATGATCATGTGCAGTATCACGATGCTTGCATACAGTTTGGCTGCGACGTTTGTTACCCACATTTGTGGACAAATTCAGATACAGATAGCAAGACTGCACGATTTGGTGGAGAACAAAGAACAGAGAAAAAATGTCGGGTCTGATCCTCTATCTGTTATCGTACACGATCATACGGAAATTTTAAGGTAAGAAATGCTTCTCGTAACACGAACCTTGTATAAACGTTAAAGAGCTAAGAACATGGACATTTTAGATTTTCAAGAAATGTAGAAGAAGCGTTACGAGAAGTGTTTTTTGCGCAAATCGTCGAGGCCACGTTGAGCATGTGTTTGCTTGAATATTATTGCATAATGGTAAAAAAATTAAATCCATATGTATTCGTGTTAATACAAATAATTCAAGATTACTGGAGTTTGTTATTCATAAAATATTTCAGGCATGGCGGAACAACGACGTAGTCACAATAATGACATGTACTACTTTGTTGATCTCTTTCACATTTAATGTATTTATATTCTGCTACGTTGGCGAAATTCTCTCTGAGCAGGTAATTGCAAAAGAATTTCTCTTGTTTAAAAATTCTCCGTTTCATCAAATACTCTCAACGATCGTAATTAGTGTAGACAAATCGGTGAATATTCCTACAAGATCAGGTGGTATAACTTGCCAGCTAAAAACGCTTACGATCTTATTCTATTGATCTCCGTATCTCAGTATCCACCAAAACTTACAGCTGGAAAAATAATCGAATTATCTCTCGACACTTTCAGCTCTGTGAGTTTGCATTTTGTATTGGTACCGTGAAACAATTAAATCAGCTTTACATTTGTCTCTCTTTTCAGGTAACAAAAACGTCGCTAGTTTATTTGAATTTACTTCAAACACTTACTGACTGGTAATAAATCATATGTTTTTCTTATGCTGCCATATAATTACCGTAATCACTGCAATTGTTTTATTATTGTGAAAAATTGTTTTACAGATATCTCGTATTAGAGACATATTCGTTTACCAACCGAAGTCTACGTAGTTTATTTAATTATGTCCGACGTTTATTCCTGCATTATACTAATGGTAGATTCTAAAATATACGGAAAACAAAATTAAATAATAAAAATTTGAAGGCTTTGAATCTTATGACATAAAAATTGGTAACTAAACTGAACTTAATAAAACTTTATCTCATTTCTCTTCTTCCTATACTTACTTTTTTCTTCGCTGAAGGAATCTTGATCTCACATTTCCAGAGATGCAAATTTTTTCCTTCTTATAAATCACGACAGGAGTTTTACTAGACGTGAAAAATATAATACTGTTTTCTTTAAACAAAACAGACGCACAAAATTTCACAAAAGAATATTCTAATCCATATTAGAAAATTGAAGAACGCTTAGTTATGAACACGTCAATGATTTCTCTGTACTATAACTTCACTCGATCTCTTCTGCAACGAATGTAGAACCTATAAAAGACAAAAAAACAAGTGGAGGGTCACTTATTATCGACGAAAGTTTCCCCTTCGTTTATACTTCTCTCATTCATGAAGCGCACACACATGTAGTTCAAGCTCGTGCACATTCGCAGAAATGAAATGACATGCGCTTGCGTCCTGACAATGTTGTGACGAATGTTTCCCTCCTACCCATCAGTCGCCTCTGTGAACCCGCGTTGTCAGTATGTATGATCGATCATACGTCAAAGTTGATGGAAAACTGAGAAACGTTCATTACGACAACGACATACATTATACGCTGCAAATGTGCGAATGGCTGTTCAAGTTAATCGGAATGTGGCCCCTCGTCAACAATCACAACAGAAGTAAACTGCAGCAACTCGTCACGATCGTTCTGATAAGCACATGCTTCTCAAGCATGCTCTTCATCGTCCTACCATCCCTTCATCACATCTTCTTCGTGGAGAAAAATACGAATATGAAAGTGAAAATGTTCGGCCCAGTTAGTTTCTGTGTCTCGTCGGCGATCAAGTACTGCTACCTTGGTACGAAAGGACACTTCTACCAACGATGTATCCAGCACGTCAGGAAGGACTGGAAAACGGTTCACGATCCAAATTACCGAACGATCATGCTGAAATACGCGGCAATCAGCAGGAAGCTAATCACGGTATGCGCGGCTTTCTTATACAGCGGCGGAATGTCGTATCACACGGTAATGCAGTTTCTGTCTAAGGGGAGTGGAGAGGAAAATAACACGTACAGACCACTGTCTTATCCTGGCTACGATTCGTTCTTGGATTCTCAGTCCAGTCCTACGTACGAAATCGTGTTTTCTATTCATTGTATTACGGCAATGATCATGTACAGCACGGCGACGGCCGCGTACAGTTTGGCGGCGATCTTTGTTACGCACATTTGTGGACAGATTCAGATACAGATAGCAAGACTGCACGATTTGGTGGAAAGCAAACAGAGAAACGATCTCGGGCCTGACCCTCTATCTGTCATCGTACATGATCATGCGGAAATTTTAAGGTAGGGTATACTTTTTGTAACACGAACCGTATATAAACGTTAAAGAAGCAAGAGCTTGAATATTTTAGATTTTCGAAAAATGTAGAAGAATCGATGCGGGAAGTGTGTTTCGCACAAATTGTCGAATCAACGATGAACATGTGTTTGCTCGAGTATTATTGCATAGTGGTACGAAATTAAATCAACTTCTACTCGCGTTAATCCAGATTAACTCAGAATCACCCAATGTTGTCTGTAAAATATTTTAGGAATGGCGAAACAGCGATGCAATCGCAGTAATAACTTACGTCACATTGTTCATCTCCTTTACATTTAATGTGTTTATATTTTGTTACATAGGCGAAATCCTCACTGAACAGGTATTTGCAAAAAAATTTCGCTAATTTAATCATTATCGGTTTTATTAAATATTCTAAATAATTGTTACTTAGTGCAGACAAATCGGTGTAAATTCTTATAAAATCGAATGGTATAACTTGCCAGCTAAGAATGCTTACGATCTCATTCTGTTGATCTCCATATCTCAATATCCACCAAAACTTACGGCCGGAAAAATCATCGAATTATCTCTCGACACCTTTAGCTCCGTGAGTTTATATTTTTATTATTGTACTGATATCGTGAAAACAAAATTTTACACACTTGTCTATTTTCAGGTAGCAAGAACATCGCTTGTTTATCTCAACTTGCTACGAACATTTGCAGACTGGTAATGAAACCTTTTTTAATATTGCCATAAAATTAGCTGCCATAATTGTCTTCATTATTGAAAAAATAATTTTGCAGATATCCCTTTCTAAGCATAACGTCGAAGATTAACTTGAGTTCTTCGTAGTTTGATTCACATTCTGGACCAAATGTGGAGTTTGTAGTTGAATTATTTTAAAATAAAGTTCTAAAATACACAGAAAATAAAAATTGGTGATAAATATTTGTAGGTTAAATGTAATAACAATTAATACTAAATTACACATTAAACTACTGACTGAGCTCTACTTTAAAGAACTTTACATGATTTCCCTTTTTCCCATATTTACTTTCACTATCAACTGAAGATAAAATCTCGATCTCACATTTTCAGAAAGTAAATCCTTTCCCTTTCATAAATAACGACTCAAATTTTCCAGCCGATTTACTTGAAAAGAATAATAGTATTTCTTTTGAACAAAACAGACGTAAAAAAATTCCACAAAAGGATATTATACTCGTTGTTAGAAAACTGAAGAAAAGTTAGCACAAACATGTGCTTATTGCACGAATGATTTCTGTGTACTATAACTTCGTTCGAACTCTCCCGCAACGAACGTAGAACTTATACAAGACAAAAAAAACGTGATGGCACACTTATTATCGACAAAAGTTTCCCCTTCGTTTCTATTTCTCTTTCATGGGGCGCACACAGGTGGTTGAAGCTCATCGTACACATTCACAGAAACGAAACGATACGCGCTTGCGTTCGACGTTGTGTCGAATGTTTCTCCCCTACCCATCAGTCGCCTATGTGCACCGGAGCCATGAATGTCCGATCGTACGTCGAAGTTGACGGACAACTGAGAAACGTCCACTACGAGAATGACATTCATTACACGCTACAAATGTGCGAATGGCTGTTTAAAATAATCGGAGTTTGGCCCCTTGTCAACAGTCACACTAGAAGTAAACTGCAACAGCTCGTCTCGATCGTTCTGATAAGCACGTGCTTCTCCAGTATACTTTTCATCGTTTTGCCAACTTTCCATCACATCTTCTTCGTGGAGAAAAATACGGATATAAAAGTGAAAATGATCGGCCCAGTTAGTTTCTGTGTCTCGTCTGCGATCAAGTATTGCTACCTTGGTATGAAAGGACACTTCTTCGAACGGTGTATCCAGCACGTCAGAAAGGACTGGAAAACGGTGCACGATCCAAATTATCGCACGATCATGCTGAAATACGCGACGGTCAGCAGAAAGCTCATCACGGTATGCGCAACTTTCTTGTACAGCGGTGTATTGTTGTTTCACACGGTAATGCAGTTTCTGGCAAAGGAAGAGAGTGGGGAAAACAGCACGTTCAGACCACTGGCTTATCCTGGCCCTGATCCGATCTTGGATTCTCAGTCCAGTCCTACGTACGAAATCGTGTTTTCTATTCACTGTTTCACGGGACTGATCATGTGCAGTATCACGATGCTTGCGTACAGTTTGGCTGCGACGTTTGTTACCCACATTTGTGGACAAATTCAGATACAGATTGCAAGACTGCACGATTTGGTGGAGAGCAAACAGAAGAAAGGTGTCGGGCCTGACCCTCTATCCGTCATCGTACACGACCATGCAGAAATTTTGAGGTAAGGAATACTTTTTGTAACACGAATCGTATATAAACGTTAAAGAACCAAGAACATCTGGATATTTTAGATTTTCGAAAAATGTAGAAGAAGCATTGCGAGAAGTGTTTTTTGCACAAATCGTCGAGGCCACGATGAACATGTGTTTGCTTGAATATTATTGCATAATGGTAAAAGAATTAAATCAACATCTATTCGCGTTAATCCAAATGAGTTCAAAACCATCCAATCTTATTTGTGAAATATTTCAGGAATGGCAAAACAGCGATGCAGTCGCGGTAATAACTTATGTCACATTGTTCATCTCCTTTACATTTAATGTGTTTATATTCTGTTACGTAGGCGAAATCCTCACTGAACAGGTATTTGCAAACGAACTTCACTAATTTAGTCATTGTCGATTTTATTAAATATCATAAATAATTGTTAATTAGTGCAGACAAATCGGTGTAAATTCTTATAAAATCGATTGGTATAACTTACCAGCTAAGAATGCTTACGATCTCATTCTGTTGATCTCCATATCTCAAAATCCACCGAGGCTTACGGCTGGAAAAATCATCGAATTATCTCTCGACACATTTAGCACCGTGAGTTTATATTTTTGTCATTTTACTGATATCGTGAAAACAAAGTTTTACACACTTACCTATTTTCAGGTAGCGAAAACGTCGCTAACTTATCTGAACTTACTACGAACATTTGCAGACTGGTAATGAATCCCTTTTTTAATATCTCCACAGAAATTAGCATAACTGCCGTAATTGTCTTCATTATTGAGAAAATAATTTTGCAGATATCCGTTTCCAAGTACGACGTTGAAGATTAACCTGATTTCTGCGTAGTTTGATTGATTTTCTGGAGCAAGTGTGTAGCTTATAGTTGCATTATTTTGTTAAGTTTAAAATACACAGATAATAGAATTTGCTAATAAATATTTGTAGGTTAAATGTTATGACAATTGATACTAAATTACTGGCTAAATTACTGACTAAATTACTGACTAAGCTGAACTTTATAGAACTTTATGTCAGTTTTCTTTTTCCTCCACTTACTCTTTTTCTTTCACTATCGACTGAAGATAAAATCTCGATCTCACATAAGCAGAAAGCAGAATACTTTCCTTTTTATAAATAACGACACAAACTTTCCAGCCGATTTACTTGAAAAAAATAATAGTATTTCTTCTGAACATGACAGACGTACAAAATTCGACAAAAGGATATTATAGTCGTTATTAGAAAATTGAAGAAAAGTTAGCACAAACATGTGCGTATTGCCCGAAGTCAACGTAGTTTATTTAACTTCCTGGGTTATGTGTGACGCTTATTCTTGGATTACTCTAATGTTAGATACTAAAATATACAGAAAACAAAATTATTTATAAATTTTTGAAGGCTGACTCTTATGATATTAAAAACTGAATTAGTAACTTGTGGTATTAGTAACTAAACTTCATAAAACTTTATCTCATTTTTCTTTTTCCTATATTTATTTTTTTCTTCAAAAAAGATAAAATCTTGATCTCCCATTTCCAGAGATGCAAATTGTTTCGGTTTAAAAATCAGGAATTTTACAGACGATTCACTGACCTCAAAAATATAATATTACTTTTTTGAAACAAAACAGGTTCCACAAAAAAATATTTATTCCTCCCATTATTAGAAAGTTTAAGATTTCAATTATTATTAGAAAATTTAAAAAAACCTGGCACAAACATTTGCTTATTGTCCGAATGATTTCTCTGTACTATAACTTCGATCGATCTCCTCTACAACGAACCTGAAAGACAAAAAATATCGTGAACGCTCCCTTATTATTATCGACGAAAGTTTCCCCTTCGAATCCACTTCCCTGATTCATGAAGCACAGAAAGTTGGTTGAAGTTCACAGAAAAAAAAACCACACGCGCTTGCGCTTCTGACAATGTATTGTCCAAAGCTTCTTTCCCGCCGATCAGTCGACGATGTGCAGCGCAAGTGTCAGTATGTATGATCGATCATACGCCAGAGTTAACTGTCAGTTGAGAAACGTCCATTACGAAAACGACATACATTACACGCTGCAACTGTGCAAATGGCTATTGAAACCAATCGGAGTGTGGCCTCTCGTTAATAATCGCGCCAGTAAACTTGAACAGCTTGTCTCAACCGTTCTGATGACCACGTGCTTTTCCAGTTTGCTCTTCATCGTTCTACCATCCTTTCACCACATCTTCTTCGTGGAGAAAAGCACGCATATAAAAGTGAAACTGCTCGGCCCAGTTGGTTTCTGTTTCTCGTCTACGATTAAATACTGCTGCCTTGGTCTGAAAGGGCCCTTCTTCGAACGGTGTATCCAGCACGTCAGAAAAGATTGGAAAATGGTGCACGATCCAAATTATCGTACGATCATGTTGAAGTACGCGACGGTCAGCAGGAAGCTAATCACGGTGTGCGCAGCTTTCTTGTACAGTGGTGGAATGTCGTATCAAACGGTGATGCAGTTTCTGTCGAAGGACAGGAGAGGGAAGAATTACACGTACAGACCACTGGCTTATCCTAGCCCTGATTCGATCTTGGATACTCAGTCCAGTCCTACGTACGAAATCGTGTTCTTTCTTCACTGTTTCGCGGCGATAATCATGTACAGTGTCACGACGGTTGCGTACAGTTTGGCCGCGATCTTCGTCACCCACATCTGTGGACAGATTCAGATACAGATAGCAAGACTGCAGGATTTGGTAAAGAGCAAAGAGAGAGAGAATGGTGAACGTGATCTTCTGTCTGTTATCGTACACGATCATACGGAAATTCTAAGGTAAGGTCGTATCTTTTATGACACGGAGGAAACCTCAGAGAAGCAAATGCATGGATATTTTAGATTTTCGAAAAATGCAGAAGAAGCCTTGAGAGAAATATGCTTGGCGGAAATTGTCGGGTCCGCGATTTTTATGTGTCTGCTTGAATATTATTGCATGGTGGTAAGAAATTAAATCAATATATATACGTGTTGGGAATTAATTCGGAATGTTACATTCACTGTATTGTAGAGACGTGTTATTTGTTTGATATTTTCCAGGAATGGCAGAACAACGACGCAGTCGCGATAATGACTTATTTCACTTTGTTGATCTCCTTTACGTTTAATATATTTATATTTTGTTACATAGGCGAACTCCTCTCTGAACAGGTATTTGCAAACGAATTTCGCTAATTTAGTCATTATATATTTTATTAAATATCATAAATAATGCTTAATTAGTGCAGACAAATCGGTGTAAATTCTTATAAAATCGAATGGTATAACTTACCAGCTAAGAATGCTTACGATCTTATTCTGTTGATCTCCATATCTCAATATCCACCGAGGCTTACGGCCGGAAAGATCATCGATTTATCTCTCGACACTTTTAGCTCGGTGAGTATATATTTTCGTTTCATAGTATTAACAACGTTTTACAAATTTTTACAATTGATTGTTTTCAGGTAGCAAAAACGTCGTTAGTTTATCTGAACTTACTGCGAACAGTAACGGACTGGTAATGAAACCTTCATTTTTCTAATATTACCATAAAATTATGATGAATGTCGTAATGGTTTTATCATTGTAAAAATAATTTTGTAGATATCCTTTTCGAAGTATGACGTTGAAGATGTACCTGGCCCTTTGCATAATTTATTTAATTATCTGGATCAAATATGATATTTATTGTTGAATTATTTTAGTGTTAGGCTCTGACATACACAGCAGACAAAATGACAGTAAATGTTTGAAAATTAAATCTTGTGAAATTAAAAACTGTATTAGTGAGTTCTTTATAAACTGAGAAGAATTTTCGGCTCTCATTTCACTTTTTTCTTCTCTTTACAATCCACTAAAGATAAAATTTTGATCTTACAATTCCAGATATGCAAAATGTTTAAAGAATCGTATGTGGAAACGAATAATCTAAATGAAGTAAAACGATGAAACCTTTATACAATTTTTAGGTAGCAAAGACGTCGATAGTTTATCTGAAGTTGCTTAAAACACTTACTGACTCGTAACGAAACTAACATCTTTTAATATCATACGAACAAACTCGAGTCATCAGAATTAATTACTACAGATGTTCAGTAAAAAACTGAGCAGTTCTGAATTCGTCGAATATTAAAACCGATGTAAAATATGAATTTCCAATGTTTCTATTAACAGTCAATTGTTACGCTTCGATGCACATTTTTATTTATCTTACTATATCATCCACGAAGATACAGAGAATTCATTTCGATCAAAATGATATAAATCTTTCAGAAGAAAAAGAAAGGAATTTTTACAGTAGAAAAGAACATACGAATATTTAAAATTTCACTATATATCACACTCGTATGTATTTCGAAAATGTGACTACTGTACATGTCACAGCAGTATATCATTTGAATAGCAGTAATGTCGTCGAGCACCTAAGCACGATACCAACTTTCGTTTCACCTTACAGAACTGGCTATTACCCGGTTTTTTTATACCCACTGCTATATATCCTAGACGCTCGCTTCTTTTGACAAGTATCAATCTATTTGCAATTATAATGATACAGATGCACGCACGCGATATCATGAGCACAAGCTCAATAACCTTGCAATCAATGCACTCAGACGACTCGGTAAACAATCGTTTCACCGCTGCTTGCGAACATGCATCACGCCGATCAGCCGCGAAATCGACACTACGAGGATGACATCGTTTATGTAACGAAACACAGCAGATGGATTTTAAATTCAATCAGGATCTGGCCAGCCGTGTTAGAGGGCGTCGGCAAGTTTTCAGCTAGAATCGCGATCGGACTAAGTAATTTAGTATTGTTCTTCACCGTATTACAGTGCGTGCTACACATTTTACTGGAACAGAAAGATCCTCTGTTAAGACTGAGGCTGTTAGGCTTCGCCTGCTACTCTTTAGTCTCTTTGATGAAGTATTGGGCTCTGACAGTCCGTAAACCGAAAATCAAGCGTTGTATCGAACAAATGCATGCCGATTGGAAGCAGGTCAGTCGCGAGGGACTACAAGTGGAAAAGTGACACGTATTGTTGCAAGTGTCGGAACACTGCTTGAAAACACATTTGTTCAAAAATGAAATATGATAACATATGAAAATGTCCATTCAAAGTACTAGTTGTAGTAATTGTCGTCGGATGATAGATAGGTTTGCAACAAAATATCTAAAGAATAAAAATATAAGCAGAAATATAACGAATATTTTGGTGAATCTCCAAGTCTTTGTGTCAGTTTGTAGTGAATATACTTCGACACAGATTTCTCTTTAGTTTTATCGAATTTTATCTATAGTTCTCACAAATTAGGAGAATCACTTTTCCACTCGTTTACAACTTATTATTTATAATGAAACCATTTAAAAAGTAAAAATAACAAAAACATAACGATTATTTTTGTGAATCTCCAAGTGTTTATACCAATTTATAGTACAATGTTTTAATTGCACTCTACACTGTGTTAAAATCGAATTTTACCTATTACTTCACCTATTAGAATTTTACCTATTAGAAGACCAAAATTAGAAGAATCACTTTTTTCACTCAGCTACTTGTTCGTGAATAACAAATTATTGACTCGAGACGTAATAAGAACCAATCATTCGACAGGTAGAAGAGATCGCACGTTGATGCTGAAATAGGAGAAGATTGGGCGAGATCTGACTATATACAGCACCGTGTTCATGTACAGCGGTAGCATATGCTACGTAACAATTAGGCAATAGGACGACAATCACGAATGGACGACAACAATCAAACGATCAGAGTGCTCGTGTATCACACGTACAGTGGTTTCTTCGACGTTCAAAAAACTCCTATCTACGAAATCGTGTACGTATTTCAATGTATTTGCATGTTTATGCTCAACACCGTGACAGCTGGTTGCTGCGCATTGGCTGCGCTCTTCGCAACGCACGCCTGCGGACAGATCGACATCGTCATGTCTCAGTTGGACGACCTGGTCGAGGGGAAATTCGCCAAGAAAAATTGCAACCCGGACGATCGGCTGACGGATCAATCGTGCAACATCACATAAGAATTATAAAGTACAAACGCGTAGGTAATGCAAACCGTTGTCCATCACTGATCAAACGGATATCGCGTGCCATTGTAGATTCTCTGCGACGGTCGAGACCGTTCTGCAGGAAGTGTGCTTCTTCGAATTCATCGGCTCCACGTTTGTGATATGCTTCCTTGAGTACTATTGTATAACGGTACGTTTCTGTTGTCCTTTTGTTCTTTTGCATATTATATGTAAGTATTTTTGGTCTCTATTTATTTATGTCTCTTCATAAGTATTTTTCGTGTCTCTGATAGGACTGGCAGCAGAATAATAAATTTGGCGTGGTGATGTATGCGGTGATACTAATATCCGTCACGTTCAATCTGTTCTTGCTGTGCTATATTGGCGATTTATTAATAGAAAAGGTATATTTCCACTGGCAATACACGAATATTGAGCATTTTTGTTTACTATTTATTTTTTTTATGCTACAGAGCAGTGATAGATATTGGAGTATCATGTTGCATGATCGATTGGTACCATTTACCAAGTAAGACAACTCAAGGAGTCATTTTAATTATCGCCATGTCCGATGAAATTTACAGCTGGTAGAATAGTTTACATATCTTTGGCTACATTCGGAAATGTAGGTTTTTACAAATACTGCAATTGAAAATGTATGCAAATTCATGTATCGAGAATTAAAGGTAACCACGTCTTTGCAGGTCTTTAAAACGTCATTCGTATACTTGAATTTCGTCCGGAATGTCGTTATGTAATAATTTAATAATTATTCCCATTTAATTATTTATATACTTAATTATAAATTAGTCAATAAAACTGTAGTTTATTACTATTTTTCCTCGTTTTTAAAATAACGCATTTTACAAATATATACATACGTTATTTTCTCATTATTTTGAACGAAGAAAAGAATTAAGAAGTAACAAAGGAAACATTATACATACGACAAAGTACTTTGTTCGTGCCCGAAGCCTCTGAGCGTACTCTTCTATTTCAAATATTTTCGCTTATTCCAGCATAACAAAGAACTGACAATGCGCAGTATCCCCAATCATGCAAAATTAGAATTATCGCGTTTACTTGTTACTTTCTAGGAAGAAAGAGACTGCAGATTCGCAGAACGGTATAAAAAAAATTAGTACTTACTCTTTTTCTTCACTATTAACTGAAGATAAAGTCTCGATCTTACATATGCAGAAAGCAAATTCTTTCGTTTTTGTAAATAACGACACAAACTTTCGAGCCAATTTACTTGAAAAATATAATACTATTTCTTCTGAGCAAAACAGACATACAAAATTCCATAAAAAGATATTACAGTCGTTATTAGAAAATTAAAGAAAAGTTGGCACAAAGATGTGCTTATTGTCCGAATGATTTCTGTGTACTATAACTTCAATCTATCTCTCCACGATCTCTACAACGAACGTAGAACTTCTAAAAGACAAAAAAACATAATGGCACACTTCGATGAAATTTACAGCGGGTATTATCGACGAAAGTTTCCCCTTCGTTTCTATTTCTCTCGTTCATGAGGCGCACACAGGTGGTTGAAGCTCATCGTACACATTCACAGAAACGAAACGATACGAGCTTGCGTTCGACGTTGTGTCGAATATTTCTCCCCTACCCATCAGTCGCCTCTGTGCACCGGAGCCATGAATGTCCGATCGTACGTCGAAGTTGACGGACAACTGAGAAACGTCCACTACGAGAATGACATACATTACACGCTGCAATTCTGTGAATGGCTGCTCAAATTAGTCGGAGTGTGGCCACTAGTCAACAGTCACACTAGAAGTAAACTGCAACAGCTCGTCTCGATCGTTCTGATAAGCACGTGCTTCTCCAGTATACTTTTCATCGTTTTGCCAACTTTCCATCACATCTTCTTCGTGGAGAAAAATACGGATATAAAAGTGAAAATGATCGGCCCAGTTAGTTTCTGTGTCTCGTCTGCGATCAAGTATTGCTACCTTGGTATGAAAGGACACTTCTTAGAACGGTGTATCCAGCACGTCAGAAAGGACTGGAAAACGGTGCACGATCCAAATTATCGTACGATCATGCTGAAATACGCGACGGTGAGCAGAAAGCTCATCACGGTATGCGCATCTTTCTTGTACAGCGGTGTATTGTTATTTCACACGGTAATGCAGTTTCTGGCAAAGGAAGAGAGTGGGGAAAACAGCACATTCAGACCACTGGCTTATCCTGGCCCTGATCCGATCTTGGATTCTCAGTCCAGTCCTACGTACGAAATCGTGTTTTCTATTCACTGTTTCACGGGACTGATCATGTGCAGTATCACGATGCTTGCGTACAGTTTGGCTGCGACGTTTGTTACCCACATTTGTGGACAAATTCAGATACAGATAGCAAGACTGCACGATTTGGTGAACAGCAAACAGAGGAAATGTGTGGGCCCTGATCCTCTATCTATCATCGTACACGATCATGCAGATATTTTAAGGTAAGGAATACTTTTCGTAATACAAACAGTCCACAAATGTTAAAGAATCAAGAGTGTGGATATTTTAGATTTTCGAGAAATGTAGAAGAAGCAATGCGAGAAGTATTTTTCGCGCAAATCGTCGAAGCCACAATGAACATGTGTTTGCTTGAATATTATTGCATAATGGTAAAAAAATTAAATCCATATGTATTCGTGTTAATCCAAATTAATTCAAGATTACTGGAGCCTGTTATTCGTAAAATATTTCAGGCATGGCGGAACAACGACGTAGTCACGGCAATGACCTGTGCTACTTTGTTGATCTCCTACACATTTAATATATTTGTATTCTGCTACGTAGGCGAACTTCTCTCTGATCAGGTAGTTGCAAAAGACTTTCCCTTGTTTAAAAATTCTCCGTTTTATCAAATACTCTCAATGATCGTAATTAGTGCAGACAAATCGGTGAATATTCCTACAAGATCGGGTGGTATAACTTGCCAGCTAAAAACGCTTACGATCTTATTCTGTTGATCTCCGTATCCCAGTATCCACCAAAACTTACAGCTGGAAAAATAATCGACTTATCTTTCGACACTTTCAGCTCTGTGAGTTTGCATTTATGTAGTAGTATTAGTACCGTGAAACAATTAAACTAGAGCTTTACATTTGACTATTTTCAGGTAACAAAAACATCTCTAGTTTATTTGAATTTACTTCAAACACTTACAGACTGGTAACGGATCATACATCTTTTTGATATAATCGCTACAATCACTGCAATTGTTTTATCATTGCGAAAAATTGTTTGTTACAGATATCTCGTATTACAGACATACTCATTTACCAACCGAAGTCTACGTAGTTTATTTAACTTCCTGGATAATGTGCAACGCTTATTCTTGAATTAATCTAATGTTAGATTCTGAAATATCCAGAGAACAAAATTACGTTATACATATTTGAAGGCTAAATCTTATGATATTAAAAACTGAATTAGTAACTTATGGTATTAGTAACTGAACTGAACTTCATAAAACTTTATCTCGTTTTTCTGTTTCCTATACTTATTCTTTCTTCACAGAAGGCAAAATCTTGACCTCACAAAATCACATCTCCATAGATGCAAATTTTCTCGGTTTTAAAATCACGACAGACGATTCACTGACTTCAAAAATATAACATTACCTTTGAATCAAAACAGGCACACGGCTCCACAAAAAATATTTATTCCTCACATTATTAGAAAGTTCAAGACTTCAACCATTATTAGAAGATTTAAGAAAACTTGGCACAAACATTTGCTTATTGTCCGAATGATTTCTCTGTACTATAACTTCGATCGATCTCCTCTACAACGAACCTGTAAAAGACAAAAAAAAANAAAAAAAAACGTGAACGCTCCCTTATTATTATCGACGAAAGTTTCCCCTTCGAATCTACTTCCCTCATTCATGAAACACAGAAAGTTCGTTGGTTGAAGTTCGCAAAAACAAAACCAAACGCGCTTGCGTTCTGGAAATGTCGTGTCCAAAGCTTCTCTCCCGCCGATCAGTCGACGATGTGCAGCGCAAGTGTCAGTATGTATGATCGATCATACGTCAAACTTGACGGACAACTGAGAAACATCCACTACGAGAATGACATACATTACACGCTGCAAATGTGCGAATGGCTGCTCAAATTAGTCGGAGTGTGGCCTCTGGTCAACAGTCACACTAGAAGTAAACTACAACAAGTACTCTCCATTGTTCTGATGAGCACGTGCTTCTCCAGTATACTTTTCATCGTCTTACCATCTTTTCATTATATCTTCTTCGTGGAGAAAAATACGGACATGAAAGTGAAATTGATCGGACCATTTAGTTTCTGTTTCTCGTCTGTGATCAAGTATTGTTACCTCGGTACGAAGGGACACTTCTTCAAACGATGTATCCAGCACGTCAGGAAGGACTGGAAAACGGTGCACGATCCAAATTACCGAACGATCATGCTGAAATACGCGACGGTCAGCAGAAAGCTCATCACGGTATGCGCATCTTTCTTATACAGCGGTGTATTGTTGTTTCACACGGTAATGCAGTTTTTGTCGAAGGAAAAGAATGCGGAAAATAATACGTTCAGACCACTGGCTTATCCTGGCTACGATTCGTTCTTGGATACTCAGTCGAGTCCTACGTACGAAATCATGTTCTCTGTTCATTGTTTTACGGGAATGATCATGTGCAGTATCACGATGCTTGCGTACAGCTTGGCTGCGACGTTTGTTACCCACATTTGTGGACAAATTCAGATACAGATAGCAAGACTGCACGATTTGGTGGAGAGCAAACTGAGGAAAGATCTTGAGCCTGATCTTCTGTCTGTTATCGTGCACGATCATGCGGAAATTTTAAGGTAAGGAATGCTTCTTGTAACACGAACCTTATATAAACTTTATAGGAGGCAAGATTGTGGATATTTTAGATTTTCAAGAAATGTAGAAGAAGCGTTACGAGAAGTGTTTTTCGCGCAAATCATCGAGGCCACAATGAACATGTGTTTGCTTGAATATTATTGCATAATGGTAAAAAAATTGAATCCACTCTATTAAGTCCAGCTATTCGTGTTAATCCAAATTAATTAAATATTACTGGAGCCTGTTATATTCGTAAAATATTTTAGGCATGGCGGAACAACGACGTAGTCACGGTAATGACCTGTGCTACTTTGTTGATCTCCTTCACATTTAATGTATTTATATTCTGCTACGTTGGCGAAATTCTCTCTGAGCAGGTAATTGCAAAAGAATTTCTCTTATTTAAAAATTCTCCGTTTCATCAAATACTCTCAATGATCATAATTAGTGTAGACAAATCGGTGAATATTCCTACAAGATCAGGTGGTACAACTTGCCAGCTAAAAACGCTTGCGATCTTATTCTGTTGATCTCCGTATCTCAATATCCACCAAAACTTACAGCTGGAAAAATAATCGAATTATCTCTCGACACTTTCAGCTCTGTGAGTTTGCATTTTGTACCGGTACCGTGAAGTAATTAAACCAGAGCTTTGTATTTGTCTCTCCTTTCAGGTAACAAAAACGTCGCTAGTTTATTTGAATTTACTTCAAACACTTACAGACTGGTAATAATTCATATGTTCTTTTCTATACTACCATATAATTATCATAATCACTGCAATTGTTTTATCGATGTAAAAAATTGTTTTACAGATATCTCGTATTACAGACGTATTCGTTTACCAACCGTCTACGTAGTTTATTTAATTATGTCCGACGTTTATTCTTGAATTATTCTAATGCTAGATGCTAAATATAAGGAAAACAAAATTAAATAATAAAAATTTGTAGGCTTTGAATCTTATGACATAAAAATTGGTAACTAAACTGAACTTGATAAAACTTTATCTCATTTCTCTTTTTCCCATACTTACTTTTTTCTTCACTGAAAAAATCTTGATCTCACATTTCCAGAGATGCAAATTTTTTCCTTTTTATAAATCACGACAGAAATTTTACAGGCACTTTACTAACGTGAAAAATATAATATTCTTTTTTTTAAACAAAACAAACGCACAAAATTTCACAAAAGAATATTCTAATCCTTATTAGAAAATTGGAAACCGCTTAGTATGAACATGCCAATGATTTCTTCTTACTGATTTCTTTGTACTATAACTTCACTCGATCTCTCCTGCAACGAATGTAGAACCTATAAAAGACAAAAAAACAAGTGGAGGGTCACTTATTATCGACGAAAGTTTCCCCTTCGTTTATACTTCTCTCATTCATGAAGCGCACGCACATGTAGTTGAAGCTCGTACACATTCGCAGAAACGAAATGACATGCGCCTGCGTTCTGACAATGTCGTGTCGAAAGTTTCTTTCCTGCCGATCAGTCGACGATGTGCCCTGGAACCGTCAGTATGCATGATCGATCATACACCAGAGTTAACTGTCAGTTGAAGAACGTCCATTACGAAAACGACATACATTACACGCTGCAACTGTGCAAATGGCTATTGAAACCAATCGGAGTGTGGCCTCTCGTTAACAATCGCGCCAGTAAACTTGAACAGCTTGTCTCAATCGTTCTGATGACCACGTGCTTCTCCAGTTTGCTCTTCATCGTTCTACCATCCTTTCACCACATCTTCTTCGTGGAGAAAAACACGCATATAAAGGTGAAACTGCTCGGCCCAGTTGGTTTCTGTTTCTCGTCTACGATTAAATACTGCTGCCTTGGTCTGAAAGGGCCCTTCTTCGAACGGTGTATCCAGCACGTCAGGAAGGATTGGAAAACGGTGCACGATCCAAATTATCGTACAATCATGTTGAAGTACGCGACGGTCAGCAGGAAGCTAATCACGGTGTGCGCAGCTTTCTTGTACAGTGGTGGAATGTCGTATCACACGGTGGTGCAGTTTCTGTCGAAGGACAGGAGAGGGAAGAATTACACGTACAGACCACTGGCTTATCCTAGCCCTGATTCGATCTTGGATACTCAATCCAGTCCTACGTACGAAATCGTGTTCTTTCTTCACTGTTTCGCGGCGATGATCATGTACAGTGTCACGACAGTTGCGTACAGTTTGGCCGCGATCTTCGTCACCCACATCTGTGGACAGATTCAGATACAGATAGCAAGACTGCACGATTTGGTGAAGAGCAAGGAGAGAGAGGGTGGTGAACGTGATCCTCTGTCTGTTATCGTACACGATCATGTGGAAATTCTAAGGTAAGGACGTACCTTTTATGACACGGGGGAAACGTTAGAGAAGCAAATACATAGATATTTTAGATTTTCGAAAAATGCAGAAGAAGCCTTGAGAGAAATATGCTTGGCGGAAATCGTCGAGTCCACGATTATTATGTGTCTGCTTGAATATTATTGCATGGTGGTAAGATATTAAATCAGTATCTACACGTGTTGGGAATTAATTCGGAATGTTACATTCACTGTGTTGTAGAGACGTGTTAGTTGTATTATATTTTCCAGGAATGGCGGAACAACGACGCAATCGCAATAATGACTTATTTCACTTTGTTGATCTCCTTTACGTTTAATATATTTATATTTTGTTACATAGGCGAACTCCTTTCTGAACAGGTATTTGCAAACGAATTTCGCTAACTTAGTCATTATTTGTCTCGTTAAATATTCTAAATAAACGTTGATTAGTGTAGACAGATCGGTATAAATTCTTACAAAATCGAATGGTACAACTTACCAGCTAAAAACGCTTACGATCTTATTCTGTTGATCTCCATATCTCAATATCCACCGAGGCTTACGGCCGGAAAGATCATCGATTTATCTCTCAACACTTTCAGCTCCGTGAGTTTATATTTTCGTTTCATAGTATTAGTAACAACGTTATACAAATTTTTACAATTGATTGTTTTCAGGTAGCAAAAACGTCATTAATTTATCTGAACTTACTGCGAACAGTTACGGACTGGTAATGAAACCTTCATTTTTCTAATATTACCATAAAATTATGATGAATGTCGTAATCGTTTTATCATTGTAAAAATAATTTTGTAGATATCCTTTTCGAAGTATGGCGTTGAAGATGTACCTGGCCCTTTGCGTAATTTATTTAATTATCTCGATCAAATATGATGTTTATTGTTGAATTATTTTAGTGTTAGGCTTTGACATACATAGCAGACAAAATGACAGTAAATGTTTGAAAATTAAATCTTGTGAAATTAAAAACTATATTAGTGAGTTCTTTATAAATTGCAAAGAATTTTCGGCTCTCATTTCACTTTTTCTTCTCTTTACAATCCACTGAAGATAAAATTTTGATCTTACAATTCCAAATATGCAAAATGTTTAAAGAACCGAATATAAAAACGAATAATCTAAATGAAATAAAACGATGAAACCTTTGTACAATTTTTAGGTAGCAAAGACGTTGATAGTTTGTCTGAATTTGTTTAAAACACCTACTGACTCGTAACGAAACTGACTCTTTTAATATCATACGAACAAACTCGAGTTCATCAACTCAGAATTAATTGCGACTGATGTTCAGTATAAAACTGAGCAGTTCTGAATTCGTCGAATATTAAAACCGATGTAGAATATGAATTTCCAATGTTTCCATTAACATTTCGATGCACTTTTTTATTTGTTTTACTGTATCATCCACGAAGATACAGAAAATTCATTTCGAACAAAATGACATAAATTTTTCACAAGGAGGAGAAAAGAATTTTTACAGTAGAAAAGAACACACGAATATTTAAAATTTCACTATATATCACACTCGTATGTATTTCGAAAATGTGACTACTGTACATGTCACAGCAATATATCATTTTAATAGCAGTAATATCGTCGAGCACCTAAGCACGATACCAACTTTCGCTTCACTTTCACAGAACTGGCTATTACCCGGTTTTTTTATACCCACTGCTATATATCCCCGACGCTCGCTTCTTTTGACAAGTATCAATCGATTTGCAACTATAATGGTACCGATGCACGCACGCGACATCACGAGCGCAAGCTCAATAACCTTGCAATCAATGCACTCAGACGACTCGGTAAACAGTCGTTTCGCCGCTGCCTACGAACATGCATCACGCCGATCAACCGCGAAATCCGCACTACGAGGATGACATCGTTTGCGTAACGAAACACAGCAGATGGATTCTAAATTCAATCGGAATCTGGCCAGCCGTGTTAGAGGGCGTCGGCAAGTTTTTACCGAGAATCGCGATCGGACTAAGTAATTTAGTATTGTTCTTCACCGTATTACAGTGCGTGCTACACATTTTACTGGAACAGAAAGATCCTCTGTTAAGACTGAGGCTGTTAGGCTTCGCCTGCTACTCTTTAGTCTCTTTGATGAAGTATTGGGCTCTGACAGTCCGCAAACCGAAAATCAAGCGTTGTATCGAACAAATGCATGCCGATTGGAAGCAGGTCAGTCGCGAGGGACTACAAGTGGAAAAGTGACACGTATTGTTGCAAGTGTCGGAACACTGCTTGAAAACACATTTGTTCAAAAATGAAATATGATAACATATGAAAATGTCCATTCAAATACTAGTTGTAGTAATTGTCGTCGGATGATAGATAGGTTTGCAACAAAATATCTAAAGAATAAAAATATAGGCAGGGATATAACGAACATTTTGGTGAATCTCCAAGTCTTTGTGTCAGTTTGTAGTGAAATATACTTTGATACAGATTTCTGTATTGAAATCGAATTTTATCTATAATTCTTCCAAGTTAGGAGACTCACTCTTTAACTCACAACTTAGATTTAGAATAAAACATCTAGAAAGTAAAAAGAACAAAAATGTAACGATTACTTTTGTGAATCGCCAAGTTTCTTTTTTTGCCAATTTTTAATAAAATACTTTGATATAAATTTCTGTGTTAAAATCGAATTTTTTATAATTCTCCCAAAGTAGAAGAATCGTTTTTCCACTCAGTTACAACTTGGATTTATAACAAAATAATCTAAAAAATGAAAATAGTAGAAATATAACGATTATTTTTATGAATCTCCAACTCTTTATGCCAATTCATAGTAAAATAGTTTGATACAGATTTCTGTGTTAAAATTTTACCTATAGTTCTCGCAAATTTGGAGAATCACTTTTCCACTTGCTTACAACTTAGATTTATAATGAAATCATCTAAACAGTAAAAATAACAGAAACATAACGAATATTTTTGTGAATCTCCAACCAATTTATAGTACAATATTTTAATTGTACTCTAAAACTCTGTAATTCGAAAATGTTGAAATCGAATTTTATCTATTACAACTTCACCTATTAAAATTTTACCTATTAGAAGACCAAAATTAGAAAAATTACTTTTTCCTCTCAGCTACTTGTTCGCGAATAACGAATTATTGTAAGACGTAATAAGAATCAATCATTCGACAGGTAGAATTCCAAAGAGATCGCACGTTGATGCTGAAATACGGGAAAATCGGGCGAGATCTGACTATATACAGCACCGCGTTCATGTACAGCGGCAGCATATGCTACGTGACAATTATGCAGTATGCAATAGGACGACAATCACGAATGGACGACAACAATCAAACGATCAGAGTGCTAGTGTATCCCACGTACAGTGGTTTCTTCGACGTTCAGAAAACTCCCATCTACGAAATCGTCTACGTATTTCAATGTATTTGCACGTTTATGCTCAACACCGTGACAGCTGGTTGCTGCGCACTGGCTGCGCTCTTCGCAACGCACGCCTGCGGACAGATCGACATCGTCATATCTCAGTTGAACGACCTGGTCGAGGGGAAATTCGCCAAGAAAAATTGCAACCCGGACGATCGGCTGACGGAAATCGTGCAACATCACATAAGAATTATAAAGTACAAACGCGTAGGTAATGCAAACCGTTGTCCATCACTGATCAAACACATATCGCGTGCCATTGTAGATTCTCTGCGACGGTCGAGACCGTTCTGCAGGAAGTGTGCTTCTTCGAATTCATCGGCTCCACGTTTGTGATATGCTTGCTCGAGTACTATTGCATAACGGTACGTTTTCGTTCGCTTCTGGCTTCCATCCTTACGAGTTTACGGTATTTTTACACTTCTGGTAGGATTGGCAACAAAGTAATAATATTGGTCTGGCAACGTACTCGATGCTGCTAATATCTTTGACGTTCAATATGTTCCTGTTGTGCTACATTGGCGATCTACTGATCGAAAAGGTATGAAAATTGATTAATCAAACTCGATCTGCTGTTTATTATCTACTACTTGTATACTGTAGAGCACGAACGTTGGAATGTCATGTTGCACGATCGATTGGTACCGATTGCCAGTCAAGACCATTCAAGACCTAATTCTGATAATCGCCGTGTCAAATAACCCGGTGAAAATCAGCGCTGGTGGAATAGTTTGCCTGTCGCTGTCCACATTCGGAAGTGTAGGTTTCTGCAATTGAAAATTTCTGCAAAATTGGAATCTCATCAATCTAACGTTCAACTTCATTCTTACAGGTTTTAAAGACGTCGTTCGCGTACTTAAATTTCATTCGAAATGCCCTTATGCAATAATATAATAATTACTCTAGTGTTTCCGTTATTTATAAATTTAATCGAAGAACGAATAAAAACGTATATTGTGAAATCGTCAATTTTCTATTTCTAGAACGATATGAAAATTTCTACGTTACTTTCCGATCCTCTTTAACAAAGAAAATGGCATACCTCTTGTACACACGGCAATATACATTGTTCATGTCTCAAGTTCCTAATTGTACTCTAACCCTTCAAGGGTTCGTTCCACTTATGTACGTCCTGAGGGGAGGTTTTAGACTCTGTAGTATCAACAGCTATCCATTTGCTATAATTTCAGACGCACACGCTACATTGATGAGTAATAATCGATTTCCAAGTTCTGTGCACGCACGCGATACCATAAGCGCAAACTCAACGACCTTGCAATCAATGCCGGCCGGTCGTCGTAAACAGTCGTTTTCGAGCTGCCCGCGAACATGCACACACCCGTTCGGGATCACGCCGATCAACCGCGAAATTCAAACTACAAGAAGGACATCGTTTACGTGACGAAACATCTGAAATGGATTCTGAATTGCATCGGGATCTGGCCAGCCATGTTAAAGGGCATCGGCAAATTTTTGCCAAAAATCGCGATCGTACTGTGTAACTTAGTGTTGTTCTTCATCGAAGTGCAGTGCGTGCTACACATTATACTGGAACAGAAAGATCCTCTGTTGAGACTGAGGCTCTTAGGTTTAGCTTGCTATTCATTAATCTGTCTAATGAAGTATTGGGCACTGACGGTGCGCAAATCGAAAATCAAGTATTGTATCGAACAGCTGCATACAGATTGGAAGGAGGTCAGTATATTTAAGGGGCCAAGTGAAAAAGTGACACGTATTATTAATTGCAAAGGTTACACATTTGTTAAGAAACAGAGAAGAAAATTTGCAAGGAATTTTACACAAATTACACAGAAAATTTACACAATTAGCATTTTCTATTATTACACCAGCGAATAATTGTGCGAGTGAAATAATAGAATTATATGTGAATGAAATAACAGAATGATAGAATTATAATAAAACATACAGAAAGTAGATATAATAGAGAGCGAAATTTAGACACGACAAAACACTTTTGTGAATTTCTAAGTTTTTATATCTATAATATGCTTTATATTATAGAGTCTATATTATGCTTAATATTATATTTTATTATAATAAAATTGTGCTTAATATAATATTTTATTATAATAAAACTAAGCTTAATATATTTTATTATAATAAGTATTTTATTATAATAAAATTGTGCTTAATATATATTTTATTATAATAAGTATTTTATTATAATAAAACTATGCTTAATATATATTTTACTATAATAATATTATAGAGTCTATATTATGCTTAATATATTTTATTATAATAAAATTATGCTTAATATATATTTTATTATAACAAAATTATAGAGTCTATATTAAGCTTAATATAATACTTTATTATAATAAAACTATGCTTAATATATATTTTACTATAATAATATTATAGAGTCTATATTATGCTTAATATAATATTTTATTATAATAAAATTATGCTTAATATATATTTTATTATAATAAAATTGTGCTTAATATATATTTTACTATAATAATATTATAGAATCTATATTATGTTTAATATAATATTTTATTATAATAAAATTATGCTTAATATATATTTTATAATATATATTTTATTATAATAATATTATAGAGTCTATATTATGCTTAATATAATATTTTCTTATGCAACTTTTCTAAGTCAAAGATTCTATCGCTCGTAACCACTTTTTCACTGAGCCACTCGATAATGGATGATGGATTTTTCTTTTCACATTAAGAAGACGCGACATAATAAATATCGATCATTCAACAGGTGGAACATCAAAGAGATCGCACGTTGATGCTGAAATACGGGAAGATCGGACGAGATCTGACAATTTACAGCGCCGTGTTCATGTACAGCGGCAATATGTGCTACATCACAATTTTACAATACGCGATAGGATCGCACGTTGACGAAAATAATCGTACGATCCGAATGCTAGTGTACCCTACGTACAGCGGTTTCTTCGATGTCCAAAGAAGCCCCGTCTACGAATTTGTATATGTTCTCCAATGTTTATGCACATTTCTACTCAACGCTGTGACGTGCGGATGTTGTGGATTGGCCGCGCTTTTCGCGACACACGCCTGCGGACAAATCGACGTTATTATGTCTCAGTTAGACGATCTGGTTGATGGGAAATTTTCCGAGAAAAAGAATAACTCGAACACTCGACTGACGAAAATCGTGCAACATCATATAAGAATTATAAAGTACAAACACGAAGGTAAAGTAAACCGTTGCCACTGATCAAAAAACATATCGCGTGCTATTGTAGATTCTCTACGACGGTTGAAACGGTTCTGCAGGAAGTGTGCTTTTTCGAATTCGTCGGCTCCACGTTTGTAATATGCTTGCTCGAGTATTATTGCATGACGGTACGTTTCTGTTACACCTGATTTACGTTTCTATGAATTTATGAAATGTTATAATATATACATAAACATATTATAAATATATATATATATATTTTTTTTTTTTCTTTTTTATATCTCTAACAGGATTGGCAGCAAAATAATAAGCTTGGTCTGGTGACATACTCAATGCTGTTAATATCTTTAACGTTTAATATGCTCTTGTTGTGCTATATTGGCGATCTACTAATAGAAAAGGTAACACGCGCCATATTTTTCCACTCGTGATGTATGAAATTTTATTGATCACTTTCGACTATTGTTAATTTTTTCCACCGTAGAGTACTAACGTTGGAGTATCATGCTGCATGATCGATTGGTATCGCTTACCGATTAAGACAACACAGGGCCTCATTTTGATTATCGCCATGTCGAACAGTCCGGTGAAACTTAGCGCCGGTAAAGTAGTCAACATATCTTTGTCCACTTTCGGAAACGTACGTTTCTTTACATACATTCCATTTGTGCCTTGGTTTAATTGAAAATTTATGGAATTTCACGTGTCCTAAATGTAAACTTCATCTTTGCAGGTTTTAAAGACGTCATTCGCGTACTTAAATTTCGTTCGGAATGCCATTATGTAATAATTTAACAATTAATCTGACTTCGTTGTTTATATACTTAATTGTAGAATAATAAACGAAAAAGTGGAAAAATTACTATTTTCCTATTTATATAGCAATATATAAATAAATGATATATAATACAGCAACATATAATATACAATAAATATATTTAATAAACGTGTATGCTACTTTTCAATCTTTTTTGAGAAAAAAAAAAGAGACATACGTGTTGTACATACGACGAATGCCGTTGCCTAATTGTACTTTTCGGCTTCAAACGTTTCCACTTGTGCCTAGAGAGCGGGGAACTGCCAATGAGCAGTATCCTCGATCGTGCAAAATGACAATTATCGAATTTACTTGTTACTTTTCAGGAAAGGATAGACTGCAGATATAAAAACGACGTAAAAAAAAAAGAGAACAAGAACAAAACTTCGTGTCCAGAGAGAAAGTTTTAGACTCTATGGTATCAACGTTGCCTATAATTTCAGATGTTCGTTACACTGATGAGTAATAATCGATTCAAAGCTTTGTAACTGATGCACGCACGCGATACTACAAGCGTAAGCTCGACAACCGTGCAATCAATGCTACCCGGTTGTTATGGACAGTCGTTCTCGTGCTGTCAACGAACATGCATCCTCCTGTTCGGAATCACACCGATCAACCGCGAAATCCAAACTACGAGAAAGATATTATTTACGTGACGAAATACCTCGAGTGGATTTTAAATGTCGTCGGCATATGGCCAGCAATGTTAACAGGAATCGGGAGATTTTTACCAAAAATCTCCATGGTACTAAGTAACTTTCTGCTCGTTTTCTTCGAAGTGCAGTGCGTGCTACATATTACATTCGAACAGAAAGATCCAATGTTAAGAATGAGAATCCTAGGATTGGCTTGCCATTCCTTAGTCTGTCTGCTGAAGTATTGGGCACTGACAATGCGCAAGTCAAGGATCAAGTTCTGTATCGAAGAAGTGTATACAGACTGGAAACAGGTTAGTCGGGCAGAAGGTTAGTCGGGGTATTCGTGACACAAAGTGGAAAAGTGATACATACCGTTCATATCAGGGCACTTTGTATACATTTGCTAAAAAATGGGATAGGATGTATGATTTTACAATCACTATTTTACATCGCCAGATAATTGCGAGGCAATAAATTTGTAATGAAATATCTGCGAAGTAAAAAATAATAGAAAACAATGCATAAGAGAAAGTAAATATCTTTCTAAATTTTTTTCACCTACGTGTAATATAATATTTTATTATACATTAATTAATTAACATTTTATAATTATATTATAATATATATTATAATTATAAATAATTAATTAACATTTTATTTCCCCAACTTAAATGTTACATTACTCGTACCACTTTTCCACTGAGTCATTCAGTCGCGGAATAATCCAATAGAAATTTTCAAAAAGACGTGAGAAATACCAACCACTGTACAGGTGGAACTTCAAACAGATCGTACATTGATGCTAAAATATGGGAAGATCGGAAGGAATCTGACTATATACTGTGCTCTATTCGCGTACTGTGGTAACATATTCTACGTCACAATTTTGCAATATGCGATAGGATCGCAAATAGATGATGATAATCGTACAATCAGAATACTAATGTACCCTATGTATAGTGGGCTCCTCGACGTCCAAAAAAGTCCTATCTACGAAATCGTGTACGTTCTTCAATGTATTGCCACGCTTATACTCAATACCATGACGGCAGGTTGTTGCGGATTGGCTGCACTTTTCGCAACACACGCCTGTGGACAGATCGACGTCATCATGTCACAGTTAGACGACCTGGTCGATGGGAAATTCTTCAACAAAGAATATAATTCGAATAATCGACTGACGGAAATCGTGCAACATCATATAAGAATATTAAAGTAACGTAAACACATCGGTAACAGGTAACGTAACGTACATCGCTAATCAAAAACATATCACGTACCATTGTAGATTCTCTGCGACGGTCGAGACTGTTCTGCAGGAAGTGTGCTTCTTCGAATTTATTGGCTCCACGTTTGTAATATGCTTCCTTGAGTACTATTGTATAACGGTACGTTTCTGTTGTCCTTTTGTTCTTTTGCATATTATATGTAGTATTTTTGGTCTCTATCTATTTATGTCTCTTCATAAGTATTTTTCATGTCTCTGATAGGACTGGCAGCAGAATAATAAATTTGGCGTGCTGACGTATGCGGCGATACTAATATCCGTCACGTTCAATCTGTTCTTGCTGTGCTATATTGGCGATTTATTAATAGAAAAGGTATGTTTCCACTAGCAATATACGAATATTGATCACTTTTGTTTACTATTTATTTTTTTTTTTTTATGCCACAGAGCGCCAACATTGGAGTGTCATGTTGCATGATCGATTGGTACCGTTTACCAAGTAAGACAACTCAAGGCGTCATTTTAATTATCGCCATGTCAAACAGTCCGATGAAATTTACCGCTGGCAGAATAGTTTACATATCTTTGGCTACATTCGGAAATGTAGGTTTTTACAAATACTGCAATTGAAAATGTATGCAAATTCATGTATCGAGAATTAAAGGTAACCACGTCTTTGCAGGTCTTTAAAACGTCATTCGCATACTTGAATTTCGTCCGGAATGCCGTTATGTAATAATTTAATAATTATTCCCATTTAATTATTTATATACTTAATTATAAATTAGTCAATAAAACTGTAGTTTATTACTATTTTTCCTCGTTTTTAAAATAACGCATTTTACAAATATATACATACGTTACTTTCTCATTATTTTGAACGAAGAAAAGAATTAAGAAGTAACAAAGGAAACATTATACATACGACAAAGTACTTTGTTCGTGCCCGAAGCCTCTGAGCGTACTCTTCTATTTCAAATATTTTCGCTTATGCCCGCATAACAAAGAACTGACAATGCGCAGTATCCCCAATCATGCAAAATTAGAATTATCGCGTTTACTTGTTACTTTCTAGAAAGAAAGGGACTGCAGATTCGCAGAACGGTATAAAAAAAACCGAGAAAAGAACTTGTGCGTCCAGAGAAAAAGTTTTAGACTTTATTCGAATGTTCGCTACGTTGATGAGTAATAATCGATTTAAAGTTTTGTAACAGATGCACGCACGCGATACTACAATCGTAAACTCGACAACCGTGCAATCAATGCTACCCGGTTGTTATCGACAGTCGTTTTCGTGCTACCAACGAACATGCATCCTCCCGTTCGGAATCACACCGTTCAACCGCGAAATCCAAACTACGAGGACGATTTCAATTATGTGACAAAGTACTTGAAATGGATACTGAATTCCATCGGAGTATGGCCAGCAATGTTCAAGGGGATCGGCAGATTTTTACCAAAGATCGCAATCGTACTAAGTAACATGGTGTTCGTTTTCTTCGAATTGCAGTGCGTGCTACAAATTATATTCGATCACTCAGATTCTTCAAAACTGAGAATCTTAGGATTGGCTTCCTATACCATGGTCGGTTTGCTGAAGTATTGGGCAGTGACGATGCGCAAATCAAGAATCAAATACTGTATCGATGAAATGAATACAGATTGGAAGCTGGTTAGTTGCGGCAAATGTTTTCGTGACACAGTGGAAAAGTGATACATACTGTTGTATCAAGACACCTGGTATCCAATTGTTAAGAAAAAAAGGAGACAGAATTTAAAGATTTTATAATAAAATTAGTAACAGGTTTTTTGCATCGCAAGAAAATTATGGATAATTAATTTGCAATAAAATATTTACAAAATAAAAATAGTAGGAAACGTGATAGAAAAAAATGACTATTTTCATAGCTCTTTATATTTATGTACAAATTAATAATTAAATTATAGATCATACCACTCGTATCATTTTTCCACTGTGCCATTCGTTCACGGAATAATGAATTCCTTTTTCTTAAGAAAATACAAATTTTTGTATCGAGAAAACGTGAGAAAATCCAACTATTCTAGGTGGAACTCGAAAGAGATCGTACGTGTATGCTAAACTACGGGAAGATCGGAAGAGATCTGATTGTATACTGTGCTCTATTCGCGTACTGTGGTAACGTATTCTACATCACAATGCTGCAATATGCGATGGGATCGCAAGTAAATGATGATAATCGTACGATCAGAATACTAATATATCCTATGTATACTGGCCAAATGGGAGTCCAAAATAGTCCCGTTTACGAAATCACGTTTACACTTCAATGTATATGCTCAATGATGATGAACGCTGTAATATGCGGTTGCTGCGGATTGGCTGCGCTTTCTTCAACACACATCTGTGGACAAATCGACATCATTATATCTCAGTTAGACGATCTGGTGGAGGGAAAATTTTCCAAGAAAAATTACAATTCGAACGCTCGGCTGATGGAGATCGTACAACGTCATACAAAGATTTTAAAGTACAAACACGAAGGTAAAGTAAACCGTTGTCTATCACTGATCAAAAACGCTATCACACGCTATTGCAGATTTTCTGCGATGTTCGAAACGGTTCTGCAGGAAGTGTGCCTTTTCGAGTTCGTTGGTACCACGTTCGTAATATGCTTGATCGAGTACTATTGCATATCGGTACGTTTCTATTACGCGGGGCTTACGTTTATGTGATTTATATTTAGATTTAAATTTGATATTCTATCATTTATATTTAATGTTTCTGATAGAACTGGCAACAGAACAATAGACTCGGTTTGTTAACGTATTCCATGATACTGGTATCTCTAACGTTCAACATGTACTTGTGGTGCTATATCGGCGATCTACTAATAGAAAAGGTATCTAATATCCTATTTCCGTTCGTAATATATATAAAAATTTTTCAATTTTGTTTACTTTTTATTCCTTATTCTGCAGAGTACTAGCATTGGCGTATCATGTTGCATGATCGATTGGTATCGCTTACCGACTAAGACAACTCAAGGCCTCGTTTTAATTATCGCTATGTCAAACACCCCGATGAAAATTAGCGCCGGAAGGATAGTTTATATATCTTTGTCTACTTTCGGAAATGTAGGTTTTTGCAACTATCTCATCTATATTACGCGACTGAAAATTTACGCAGTCTTGGGAATTCTTGTATCGGTAACTAAATGTAACTTTGTTCTTTACAGGTTTTGAAGTCGTCGTTCGCGTACTTCAGTTTCGTCCGGAATACCCTTATGTAATAATTTAATAGTCATTGTGATTTAGTTGACTAAATATCTAATTGTAGAATAATCAATAAAAAAAGTGTCGTGAAATCGTTATTTCTCTGATTTTCTAATAACACATAACATTTTATAGATATATATTACTTTATATATTATAATATATATTAAGTAATATATATTTACAAACATATATTACTAGACATATATTTCTACGTATCTATATTACTACAGACATATATTTCATAGATATATAATACTTTTATGTTGTTTCAACGAAAAAAAAAAAAATACGTGTTACACGTAGAACAACACACATACTTTGTTCGTGAACGAAGCTTCCAATCGCACCCTTCTGTTCCAAATCGTTCCACTTATGTTCAGATAGCAGAGAACTACCAACGGGAAGTATATCCATACAAATTTACTTCGCTTTTTACGAAGGGGTAGAACTTAATTTTGTAGAACGACATAAAAAACAAGTGGAAAAACTTAGATCCAGAGAGAAAGTTTTAAACTCTATAGTATCGACAGTCATTCATTCATTATAATTCCCGACGTTCGCTACATTGATAAGTAATAATCGATCTCGAAGTTTTGTAACAAGTGTACGCACGCGATATCATAAGCGCAAGCTCAACAACCTTGCAATCAATGCTACCGGATAGTGGTAAACAGTTGTTTTCGAACTCTCTGCGAACATGCACCCCTCCGTTCAGAATGACACCGTTCAACCGCGAAATCCAAACTACAAGGACGATATCATTTACGTGACAAGGTACCTGAAATGGATACTGAATTCCATCGGAATATGGCCAGCAATGTTAAAGGGGATCAGAAGTTTTTTACCAACGATCACAATCGTACTAAGTAACATTGTGCTCGTTTTCTTCGAAGTGCAGTGCATGCTATATATTACATTGGAAGAAAAAGATCCTCTGTTAAGACTGAGACTCCTAGGATTGGCTAGCTATTCCTTAGTCTCTCTGCTGAAGTATTGGGCACTGACGATGCGCAAATCAAGAATCAAAGATTGTATCGAAGAACTAAATAAAGACTGGAAGCAGGTTAGTTGATGCAACTGTTTTTCGTGATACAAAGTGGAAGAGTGATTCATGTTGTATCAGGACACTTGGTACACATTTGCCAAAAAAAGGAAACGGGATTTTAAAGATTTTACAATATAATTAATATTTTACATCGGAAAAAACTTGTATGAAATAATTAATTTGCAATAAAATATTTACAAAGTAAAAATGGTAGAAAACATAATAGGAAAAAGTAAAAATTTTTCTAACTCTTTCTATTTATGTACAATGCAATAATTAAATTATAGATCATACCTCTCGTATGTCGTTTGTCCACTGAGCCATTCATTCACGGAATAATGAATTCTTTTTTAAGAAAATATAAATTTTTGTATCGAAAAAACGTGAGAAAATTCAATTATTCTACAGGTGGAACTCCAAAGAGATCGTACGAGTATGTTAAAGTACGGGAAGATCGGAAGAGGTCTGATTGTATACTGTGCTGTGTTCCTCTACTGTGGTAACCTATTCTACGCCACAATTCTGCAGTATGCGATAGGCTCGCAAATAGATGATGATAATCGTACAATCAGAATACTAATGTACCCTATGTATAGTGGGCTCCTCGATGTCCAAGAAAGTCCTATCTACGAAATTACGTATATTCTTCAATGTTTATGCTCAATCATGATGAACGCTGTAATATGCGGTTGCTGTGGATTGGCTGCGCTTTTTTCAACACACATCTGTGGACAAATCGACATCGTTATATCTCAATTAAATGATCTGGTCGACGGAAAATTTTCCAAGAAAAATTGCACTACGAACACTCGGCTAATGAACATCGTACAACGTCATACAAAAATTTTAAAGTACAAACACGAAGGTAAAGTAAACCGTTGTTTATCACTGATCAAAAACATATCACACGCTATTGCAGATTTTCTGCGATGTTCGAAACGGTTCTGCAGGAAGTGTGCCTTTTCGAATTCGTTGGTACCACGTTTGTAATATGCTTGGTCGAGTACTATTGCATAACCGTACGTTCCTATTGCCCCGGGCTTACGTTTATGTGAATTTATATTTAGATTTATATTTAATATTGTCTCATTTATATTTAACGTTTCTGGTAGGACTGGCAACAGAATAATAAACTCGGCCTATTAACGTATTCCGTGGTACTAACATCTCTAACGTTTAACATGTATTTGTGGTGCTACATTGGCGATCTACTAATAGAAAAGGTATCTAACATCCATTTTAATTCATAATATATATAAAAATTTGTCAATTTTGTTTACTTTCTATTTCCTTATACTACAGAGTACTAGCATTGGCGTATCATGTTGCATGATCGATTGGTATCGTTTACCGACTAAGACAGCTCAAGGTCTCATTTTAATTATCGCTATGTCAAACACTCCGATGAAAATTAGCGTTGGAAAGATAGTTTACATATCTTTATCTACTTTCGGAAATGTAGGTTTTTGCAAATATCTCATCCATATTACGCGACTGAAAATTGACGCAATCTTGAAAATTCTTGTATCGGTAACTAAATGTAACTTTGTTCTTTACAGGTTTTAAAGTCATCGTTTGCATACTTTAGTTTCGTCAGGAATACCCTTATGTAATAATTTAATAGTCACTGTGATTAACTACATATTTAATTGTAAAATAATCAATAAAAAAAAGTGTCGTGAAATCGTTATTTTTTTGGTTGTCTAGTAACAGATAACACTTCATAGATACATATTACTTTATATATTAGAAGTAATATATATTTACAGACATATATTACTAGACATATATTTCTACATATCTATATTACTACAGACAAATATATTTCTTAGATATATATTACTTTTCAGTTGTTTTAACGAAAAAGAAAAAAATACGTGTTACACGTAGAACAACACACATACTTTGTTCGTGAACGAGACTTCCAATTGCACTCTTCTGTTCCAAATCGTTCCACCTATGTCCAGATAGCAGAGAACTGCCAACGGGCAGTATTTCCATACAAATTTACTTCGCTTTTTACGAAGGGGTAGAACTTAATTTTGTAGAACGCCATAAAAAACAAGTGAAAAAACTTAGATCCAGAGAGAAAGTTTCAAACTCTATAGTATCGACAGTCATTCATTCGTTATAATTCCCGACGTTCGCTACATTGATAAGTAATAATCGATTTCAAAGTTTTGTAACAGATGCACGCACGCGATATCATAAGCGCAAGCCGAACGACCTTAGAATCAATGCTATCCAGTCGTTGCAAACAGTCGTTTCCGAGCTCTCTGCGAACATGCACCCCTCCGTTCAGAATCATACCATTCAACCGCGAAATCCAAACTACGAGAACGATATCATTTACGTGACAAAGTACCTCAAATGGACACTGAATTCCATCGGAATATGGCCAACAATGTTAAAAGGGGACGGCAGTATTTTACCAAAGATCGCAATCGTACTAAGTAACTTTGTGTTCGTTTTCTTCGAAGTGCAGTGCATGCTATATATTACATTGGAAGAAAAAGATCCTCTGTTAAGACTGAGATTCCTAGGATTGGTTAGCTATTCCTTAGTCTGTCTGCTGAAGTATTGGGCACTGACGATGCGCAAATCAAAAATTAAACACTGTATCGAGGAAGTGAATACAGATTGGAAGCAGGTTAGTTGCGACAAATGTTTTCGCGACACAAAGTGGAAAAGTGATACATACTGTTGTATCAGGACACTTGCTACACATTTGCCAAACTAAGGGAGACTGGATTTAAAAATTTTGCAATATAATTAGTATTTTACATCGGAAGAAAATTGTATGATATAATTAGTTTGTAACGAGATATTTACAAAGTAAAAATGATAGAAAACATGATAGGAAAAAGTGAATATTTTTCTAACTCTTTCTATTTATGTACAATGCAATAATTAAATTATAGATCATACCTCTCGTATGTCCTTTGTCCACTGAGCCATTCATTCACGGAATAATGAATTCTTTTTTAAGAAAATATAAATTTTTGTATCGAAAGAAACGTGAGAAAATCCAACTATTCTACAGGTGGAACTCCAAAAAGATCGTACGTGTATGCTAAAGTACGGGAAGATCGGAAGAGATCTGATTGTATACTGTGCTGTGTTCCTCTACTGTGGTAACATATTCTACATCACAATTCTGCAGTATGCGATAGCATCGCAAATAGATGATGATAATCATACGATCAGAATACTACTGTATCCTATGTATAGTGGTCATATCGATGCCCAAGAAAGCCCCATCTACGAAATCACGTATATTCTTCAAAGTTTATGCTCAATCATGATGAACGCTGTAATATGCGGTTGCTGTGGATTGGCTGCGCTTTCTTCAACACACATCTGTGGACAAATCGACATCATTATATCTCAGTTAAATGATCTGGTCGACGGAAAATTTTCCAAGAAAAATTGCACTACGAACACTCGGCTAATGAACATCGTACAACGTCATACAAAAATTTTAAAGTACAAACACGAAGGTAAAGTAAACCGTTGTCTATCACTGATCAAAAACGCTATCACACGCTATTGCAGATTTTCTGCCATGTGCGAAACGGTTCTGCAGGAAGTGTGCCTTTTCGAGTTCGTTGGTACCACGTTTGTAATATGCTTGGCCGAGTACTATTGCATAACGGTACGTTCCTGTTGCCCCGGGTTTGCGTTTATGCGAATTTATATTTGGATTTATATTTAATATTTTTGGTAGGACTGGCAACAGGATAATAAACTCGGTGTATTAACGTATTTCGTGGTACTAATATCTCTAACGTTTAACATGTACTTGTGGTGCTACATTGGCGATCTACTAATAGAAAAGGTATCTCTAACATCCATTTTAATTCGTAATATATGTAAAAATTTTTCAATTTTGTTTACTTTCTATTCCTTATTCTGCAGAGTACTAGCATTGGCGTATCATGTTGCATGATCGATTGGTATCGCTTACCAACTAAGACAACTCAAGGTCTCGTTTTAATTATCGCTATGTCAAACACCCCGATGAAAATTAGCGCCGGGAGGATAGTTTATATATCTTTGTCTACTTTCGGAAATGTAGGTTTTTGCAACTATCTCATCTATATTACGCGACTGAAAATTTACGCAGTCTTGGAAATTCTTATATCGGTAACTAAATGTAACTTGGAAATTCATATCGGTAACTAAATGTAACTTTGTCCTTTGCAGGTTTTGAAGTCGTCGTTCGCGTACTTCAGTTTCATCCGGAATACTCTCATGGAATAATTTATTATTATTCATCGTTGTAATTTCGTTATTTAAATATTTAATTCTAAACTAGTGAATAAAAAGTGTGTCGTGAAATCGTTATTTTTCTGGTTTTCTAACACATAACATTGCATATATATATATATTACTTAATATATATTATGAGTAATATATACTTACAGACATATATTACTATCTGTTTCATAGATATATATTACATTTCAGTTGTTTTAACGAAAAAGAAAAAAAATACGCGCTACACGTACAACACACATATTTTGTTCGTGCACGAGGCTTCCAGTCGTACTCTTCTTTTCCAAGTATGTCCAGATAGCACAGAACTGCCGATGTGCTGTATGTCCATACAAATTTACTTCGTTTTCTACGAAGAGGTAGAACTTCATTTTGTGGAATACATAAAAAGCAAGTAAAAAAACTTAGATCCAGAGAGAAAGTTTCAGACACTATAGTACCGACAGCCATTCATTCGTTATAATACTCGACGTTCGCTACATCGATGAGTAATAATCGATTTCAAAGTTTTGTAACAGGTGCACGCACGCGATATCATAAGCGCAAGCTCAACAACCTTCCAATCAATGCTACCGGGTGGTCGTAAACAGTCGTTTCCGAGCTGTCCACGAATATGCATCCGTTCGTTTGGAATCACACCGATCAACCGCGAAATCCGAACTACGAAAAGGACATCGTTTACGTGACGAAACACGTGAAATGGATTTTGAATTCCATCGGGATCTGGCCTGTCATGTTAAAGACTATCGGCGAATGTTTACCAAAAATCGCGATCGTACTTAGTAATTTGGTGGTATTTTTCATCCAAGGGCTGTACGTGCTGCACATCATACTAGAACAACAGGATAATTTTCTACGACTGAGACTCCTGGCCTTTGCTTGGTACTCTTTAATCTCCTTGATGAAATTTTGGGCTCTGACAATGCGCAAACCGAATATCAAGTACTGTGTCGAGGAAATGTATGCCGATTGGAAGCAGGTCAGTCACGATAAGTGCATTTGAGAGACTAAGTGGAAAAGTGATGCAAATGTCAGGATATATATATATATATATATATATATATATATATATATAAGTATATTTATCAACAAATAACATATATAACCTTCAAATTGAAATATGACAGGATATGAGATTCTATGTTGTAATTAGTATTTTACATCGAAAGATAATTGCTTAGATAATAATAGATTTAATTTAAAATGTCTAAAACGTTTTATTTAAATATTTAATAATATTATTTCATAATAAAATGTCTAAAATGTAAAAATAGCAAAATAATATTATAGAATAGTACCAGATATGATGAATACTTTTATGTATAATGAATGTCCAAGTCACCGTGCCAATTTATGGTACAATATTTTATTCCTAGAAAGTGTACGGATTCAAATATTTTTCTAAAATCTAATTTTTCCTACAACCATTTGAAGGTGAAGATTTCACCACTTGTGCCACTTTTCCACTGAACCACTCATTCACGAACAATGAATTTTCGTTTCAAGACACTGCAGACTTACTTTAATACTAAGGAGTAACATGAATTTTAATATCAAGAAGTAATACAGTGATAAAGATCAATCGTTCGACAGGTGGAACTCCAAAGAGATCGCACGCTGATGCTGAAATACGGGAAGATCGGACGTGACCTGACAATTTACAGCGCCGTGTTCATGTATAGCGCTAGCATGTCCTACGTCGCGGTTATGCAGTACGCAGTGGGATCGCACGTAGATGAAAACAATCGTACGATCAGAGTGCTAGTGTATCCTGCGTACAGTGGCCTTTTCGATGTTCAAAAAACTCCCATCTACGAAACCGTGTACATTCTTCAATGTATGTGCACGTTTGTGCTCAACACCGTATCATCTGGCACTTGCGGATTGGCTGCGCTCTTCGCAACGCACGCCTGCGGACAAATCGACGTAATCATGTCTCAACTGAACGATCTGGTGGACGAAAAATTCACCTTCAAGAAGAATTACGATCCGGACACTCGACTGATGGAAATCGTGCAACATCATATGAAAATTTTAAAGTACAAATGGCGAAAATAAAGTAAACCGTTCTCTACTGCTGAGAATAAAGAACATGTCGCATGCTGTTGTAGATTCTCTGCGATTATCGAGACGGTTCTGCAAGAAGTGTGCTTTTTCGAATTCGTTGGCTCCACGTTTGTAATATGCTTGCTCGAATACTACTGTATAACGGTACGTCCTTGTTACTTTGGTTTCTGTCGATTTTAACGTTTCTGTGGATTTATGGTACTTTCATGTTTCTCAGTAGGATTGGCAGCAAAATAACAAGTTCAGTCTAATAACATATTCGATGCTGCTATCGTCCTTAACGTTCAACATGTTCTTGTTGTGCTACATTGGCGATCTATTGATAGAAAAGGTAGTCGCGTTATATTTCTATTCGCAATATGCATGAAAATTTTTATCAATCAATTTCTTTCATTGTGCATTCATTAAACTATAGAGCGCTAACGTTGGAATATCGTGCTGCATGATCAACTGGTACCGCTTACCAATTAAAACGTCTCAAGGCCTGATTTTGATCATCGCTATGTCGAACAACCCGCTGAAAATTAGCGCCGGTCGAATAATTTATTTGTCTTTGTCTACTTTCGGAAGCGTAAGTCTTCATAAATACCTCATCTGTGTTTTGCCAATTTAAAATTTTCGCACCTGGAATTTCACGAATCAGGGCAAACGAAATTGCAAAGTGCAAAAATTTTAAATTTATCAAGGTAATTTCATTTATAACAGTGACTTCATCGTTGCAGGTTTTAAAAACGTCATTCGCATACTTAAATTTCGTTCGTAGTACCGTTATATATTAATAATTAAATGACTGCTCTCGTGTTTCCGTTGTTTATATGTTTAATTGTAGAATAATAAATAAAGAAATGTGTTGTGAAATCGGAATTTTCCTATTTTTATAATGATACAAAATTTCTAACGAATATGTATTAGCTTTCAATCTTTTTCAACAAAAAGAATGGCATACATGCCACAATTGTAGAATAATAAACAAAAAAATGAGTTGTGAAATCGGTATTTTCCTATTTTTATAATGATACAACATTTCTAACGAATATGTATTAGCTTTCAATCTTTTTCAACAAAAAGAATGGCATACATGCCACAATTGTAGAATAATAAATAAAAAAATGAGTTGTGAAATCGGTATTTTCCTATTTTTATAATGACACAAAATTTCCAACGAGTATGTATTAGCTTTCAATCTTTTTCAACAAAAAGAATGGCATACATGCCACATTTGTAGAATAATAAATNCTTTCAATCTTTTTCAACAAAAAAAAAAAAAAAAAAAAAAATGGCATACATACCACAATGTACTCTCGCTATGTTCACGCTCGAAGATCATAATCGTTCTCGCTCGCTTTTAATAATGCTCTTACGCGCTTATGTCCAGAGAGAAAGTTTAAGAATCGATAGTCATTCATTCGTTATAATTCCCGACGTTCGCTACATTGATGAGTAATAATCGATTTGGAAGTTCTGCAACAGATGCACGCACGCGATATCATAAGCGCAAGCCCAACGACCTTGTAATCAATGCTACCCGATTGTTATATCCAGTCGTTTCCGAGCTGCCCGCGAACATGCACACCCCCGTTCGGAATCACGCCGATCCACCGCGAAATCCAAACTACGAGAAGGATATCGTCTACGTGACGAAATACCTGAAATGGATTCTGAGTTCCATCGGAATTTGGCCTGCCACGTTAAAAGGAATCGGGAAATTCTTACCAAAAATCACAATCGGACTGAGTAACCTAATGGTACTTTTCATCGAGGTGCAATGCGTGCTACACATTTTATTAGAAGAGAAAGATCCCTTCTTGAGAATGAGGCTCTTAGGCTTGTCCTGTTACACTTTGATCTCTCTGCTGAAATATTCGGCTCTGACAATACGCAAATCGAAAATTAAATACTGTATCGAGCAGATGTATGCGGATTGGAAACAGGTCAGTCAAAGCAAGCACATATGTGTACATTCGAGGGGCTAAGTGGAAAAGTGATACGCTCTGTTGATTGTAAATATCGGAACACGTGCCCGTTGTACGTTTGTTGAGAAATAGAGGATTACAAGACGGTGTTGTAATTAGCATTTTATATCGGGAAATGAAATAACGAAATTACAAAATACAAGTAATAAAAGCAACACATAACGAAATGTGATACAAAATGAAATGGAATGTAAAAGGTAATAAGTGAAACGATAGAAGCACACTTGATGAATCGAATATGGGTATTTTTGTAAATTTTCAAATGTCCACGATAGTTTACTTCTGTAAAATCTTTTCTAATTAAAAATCCTCTAAAAATCTTCTCTATGAAGTTCGTTCAAATTAATGATTTTATCGCTCGTGTCATTTTTTCACTGAGACAGTCGTTCGAAAATAAGCGTTGGCATTTCTAGAGTTCCATTTCCAAGGAAATGCAAACCCACTGAGAAGAGAAACTAAAACGGGAAAAACTCATTCAACAGGTGGAATTCGAAAGAAATCGCACGTTGATGCTGAAATACGGGAAGATCGGACGTGACCTGACATTTTACAGCGCCGTGTTCATGTACGGCAGCAATATGTTCTACATCACAGTTATGCAATACGCGATAGGATCGCATGTAGACGAAAATAATCGTACGATCAGACTGTTAGTGTATCCTACGTACAGTGGCCTTTTCGATGCTCAAAAAACACCCACCTACGAAATCGTGTATATCCTTCAATGCACGTGCACGTTTATGCTCAACACCGTGACATCTAGTTGTTGCGGATTGGCTGCGCTTTTTGCAACGCACGCCTGCGGACAGATCGACGTCGTTATGTCAGAGTTGAACGATCTGGCCGATGGGAAATTCTCCAAGAAAAATTGCAATCCGAACGCTCGGCTGATGGAAATCGTGCAGCATCATATAAGGATTTTAAAGTACAAACGCCAAGGTAAAGCAAACCGTTGTCGGTCACTGATCAAAAAACATATCGCGTGCCATTGTAGATTCTCTGCGATGACTGAGACGGTTCTGCAGGAAGTGTGCTTTTTCGAATTCGTTGGCTCCACGTTTCTCATGTGCGTGCTCCAGTACAATCTTATAGTGGTACGTATCTGCTGCTTCCAATTTCTGCCACTTTCTACGAATTCACAGTATTTCCATATTTCTAGTAGGACTGGGAACATAACAATATGATTGGTATCGCCTCGTTCATGATGCTACTGATATCCTTGACGTTCAACATGTCCTTGTGGTGCTACATTGGCAATCTACTAATGGAGAAGGTACCTCCTCCTCTATTTTCGTCCGTAGTTTACGAAAATTTATCAATTTGACTTGTTACTTTGTTATTTATACTGTAGAGTACTAATGTTGGAATAACCTGTTACATGATCGACTGGTACCGTTTACCAGACAAGACAGTCCAGGATCTTATTTTAGTCATGGCCATGTCGAATAGTCCGATGAAAATTAGTGCCGGTAGAATAATTTATCTGTCACTGGCCACTTTCGGAAATGTAAGTTTTTACGGGAAACTTTATCAGCGCTATGCGCAACGGAATATCTGCGCGACTGGAATTTCATCTGTCGATAACCAGATCCTTCATCTTTTCAGGTTTTAAAGACATCGTTCGCGTATTTGAATTTCATACGGACCACCGGTATATAATTTAATAACAGTTCTGTTGCTCCTGTTATTTATACATTCAATAGTCGAGTACTAAATAAAGCGTTATAAAATATACTATTTTCTCATTTTTTAAGAAAAAGAAAAGCCGTACGTGTGACACGTACAATGTCGCGCTCTTTCCAACCAAGCTCCTAATCGTCGTGCACTTGCGCTTCAAACTACTCCACTTCTGTTCGGAGAGAAAGTTTTACACCCTATAGTATCAAGAGTTGCCCGTTCCCTTTAATTTCAAACGTTCGCTATATTGATGAGTAACAATCGATTTCGAAGTTCTGTAACAGATGCACGCACGCAATATGACAAGCGCAAGCCCAACAACCTTGCAATCAATGCTACCCGGTGGTCGTAAACAGTCGTTTTCGAGCTGCCTACGAACATGCATCCCTCCGTTCGTAACGATATCGATCAGCCGCGAAATCCAAACTACAAGAAAGATATCGTTTACGTGACGAGGCACAATAAGTGGGTCCTGAACTCTATCGGAGTTTGGCCAGTGGTGCTGAATGGTGTCGGCCAATTTTTACCGAAAATCGCGATCGGTCTGTATAATTTAGTGTTGTTCTTCGTTGTAATGCATTGTGTCTTGCACGTTGTATTCGAGCAAAAAGATCCTGTGATGGTGCTGAAGATTCTAGGCTTGATATGCTTTTCTATCATTTCTATGATGAAGTATTGGGCTCTGACAGCACGCAAGTCGAAGATCGAATACTGTATCGAGCAGTTGTACGCTGATTGGAAACAGGTCAGATGCAACAAGTTTATCTATTCTCGCAAGTCAGTGAGATCGTGATGTATAGATACCGGATTTTTATGCATTTGTAGCAAATTTAAAAATACAAAAGCCGACATAAATAATAAAAAATACAATCTGTAAAATACCCAAAATACTTGCCGAAGACCTATTCCTTTAATTCCACGTAAATTTCTTAATCATAAATATCCGGTATCTGGTGGTGGAAAAGTTATTCTTTTCATTCGATAGGTAGAATTCCAAAGGGATCGCGAGCTGATGTTGAAATACGGGAAAATTGGGAGAAAGCTCACCATGTACAGTGCCGTGTTTATGTATAGCGGTGGCCTGTCCTACGTCACGATTAAGCAATACGCGATCGGCTCGTACGTCGATGAGTTTAACCGTACGATCAAAATGCTGGTATATCCTACGTACAATGCTCTTTACGACGTTCAGAAAAGTCGAGAAATCATGTACTTCCTCCAGTGCATGTGCGAATATGTATCCGACAGTGTGACAGCCGGAGCTTGCGGTCTGGCTGCACTTTTCGTAACGCACGTCTGTGGCCAGATTGATATCGTTATGTCTCGGATAGACGATCTAATCGATGGAAAATTCTCCGAGGAAGATTCTACTCTGAAAGTTCGTTTAGTGGAGATCGTTCAACATCATATCAGAACTTTAAAGTACAAATAAAAAGGTGACGTAATATGTTACGTATTTCCGATTAAATACATGTTGTGTACTATTGTAGATTCTCTGCGATGATTGAGACGGTTCTTCAAGAGGTGTGCTTTCTAGAATTTTTTGGCTCCACTTTCGTAATATGTTTGCTCGAATACTATTGTATTGTGGTGCGTTTCTGTTGTTTCTAATTTGTATCTTAAACGATGTTACTGTTATTTTTCATGTTTCACTTTATTCTATTTATCCATATTTTTTAGCAGGATTGGGAGCAGAATGATAAAATTGGTCTGACGACGTATTCGTTGCTGCTGATATCCTTGACGTTCAACATGTTCTTATTGTGCTACATTGGTGATCTACTGATCGAGAAGGTATTTTGTTTTATATCTTCTTTCGTATTATACGTGAATTTTTTCACAAATTTTGTTTGTTATTTATTGTTGACACCACAGAGTACTAACGTCGGAATATCCTGTTGCATGATCGATTGGTATCGTTTGCCAGCAAAGACAGTCCAGGACCTGATTTTAATCATTGCCATGTCGAACAATCCGGCAAAAATTAGCGCCGGTAGAATTGTTGATTTGTCTTTGACATCCTTTGCAAGTGTAGGTTTTTACTAATGTCTCATCTATATTTTGCAATTAAAAATTTACTTCCTAAACGTACCTTTGTTCCAGGTTTTAAAAACATCGTTCGCGTATTTAAATTTTATTCGGAAGACCGTTACGTAATAATTTAATAATAGTTCTGCTGTTTCTATTATTTATACATTTACACCCGTCCCTCTTTTTTACGCGAGTCTCTTTTCACGCGGTACTTTTTATACGCGATGTGCATTTATGCGGCCAGAAAATATATTTTTTTAAAATTTTTGAAAGTAATGATAACAGTAACACCGATAGAAGTACTCGTCGTTTGTTGTCTACAAGCTGGTTATGATTATTCAGCGGTGTGTCAAGCACTTCAAATTTATGAGAACTTAGCAAAAGATGAGTTTGAGAACAGATCCGAAAAAATTGACATTAACAATGACGATACAGTCGAACTTCCAAACATTTCAAGCGATCAAGGACAATGAGTTTGTGCCAGTTAAAAAAAAGAGTTTGGTTGTTTCAAGTTACAGTAGCGATAATGACGACTGAATAAAATTTACTTTTGTTTCCTGAAATCTCATTATTACTTTTTCCTTTTTTTTTTTTTTTCTTGATAACCTATGTGAAATGAATATGTATTTCTATGACTTGTACCAAATTCTCTTTTCAATACTTTGTTTCCTTTTTGTGCGGACCGACTCTATTTATGCGATTTCACGTAAAACGAATCAATGTGGAACGGATACTACGCGTAAATAAAAGGGCGGATGTAATTGTTGAATACTGAATAAACTAATACTAAATTAGAATAATAAATAAAAAGTGTTACAAAAATATTATCTTTCCGTTTCTTAAAAAGAAGAAAGGGCATACCTACTATACATGCGATATTGTGCTTCTTCACACCAGAAGCTGCTAATCGTCGTGCATTTACGATTCAAACTACTCCACTTCTGTTCCGAGAAAAAGTTTTAGACTCTATAGTACCAAGAGTTGCCCGTTCCCTTTAATTGCAAGCATTTGCTACATTAATCAGTAATAATCGATTTCTTCGACAGATGCACGCACGCAATATCACAAGCGCAAGCCCAACGACCTTGCAATCAATGCTACCCGGTCATCGTAAACAGTCGTTTTCGAGCTGCCTACGAACATGCAACCCTTCGTTCGTAAGGATATCGATCAGCCGCGAAATCCAAACTACAAGAAAGATATCGTTTACGTGACGAGGCACAATAAGTGGGTCCTGAACTCTCTCGGAGTTTGGCCAGTGATGTTGAAAGGTGTCGGCAAATTTTTGCCGAAAATCGCGATCGGTCTGTATAATTTAGTGTTGTTTTTTATTTTAATGCAGTGTGTCCTGCACGTTGTATTCGAGCAAAAAGACCCTGTGATGATACTGAAGGTTCTAGGCTTGATATGCTTTATTTTTATCTCTATAATGAAATATTGGGCCCTGACAGCACGCAAGTCAACGATCGAGTACTGCATCGGGCAGCTGTATGCTGATTGGAAACAGGTTGGTTGCAACAAGTTTATCTATCCTCGTAAATCAGTGAGATCGTGATGTAAAAATTCCGGATTTTTGCCCATTTGTAGGAAGTTTAAAAGAACAAACGTGGACGCACGTAGTAAAAAATACAATCTGTGAAATACCCGAAACATTTGCCGATGCTCTATTTCTTTTAATTTAACGTGAATTTCTCAATCATGAATGTCCGGAATCTGGTGGTGGGAAAATTATTTTTATCATCCGACAGGTAGAATTCCAAAGGGATCGCAAGTTGATGATGAAATACGGGAAACTTGGGAGAAGACTGACCATGTACAGTGCCGTGTTCATGTACTGCGGCGGCCTGTCCTACGTCACATTATACGCCTACGTCATGCAATACGCGTACGAATCGTACGTCGATGAGTTTAATCGTACGATCAAAATGCTGCTATATCCTACGTACAGTGCTCTTTACGACGTTCAAAAAAGTCCCGTTCACGAAATCATGTACCTGCTCCAATGCATGTGCGAATATGTATCCGACAGTGTGACAGCCGGAGCTTGCGGTCTGGCTGCACTTTTCGTAACGCACGTCTGTGGCCAGATTGATGTCGTTATGTCTCGGATAGAAGATCTAATCGATGGAAAATTCGCCGAGGAAGATACTAGTCTGAACGTCCGTTTAGTGGAGATTGTTCAACATCATATCAGAACATTAAAGTATAAATAAAAAGGTGACGTAATATGCTACGTATTTCCGATTGAATACATATCGTGTACTATTGTAGATTCTCTGCGATGATTGAGACGGTTCTTCAAGAGGTGTGCTTTTTTGAATTTTTTGGGTCCACGTTCATAATATGTTTGCTCGAATACTATTGTATTGTGGTGCGTTTCTGTTGTTTCTGATTTATATCTTCAACAATGTTACTGCTATTTCTTTATGTTTCACTTTATTCTAATTATCCATATCTTTTAGCAGGATTGGGAGCAGGATGATAAAATTGGTCTGACGACGTATTCGTTGCTGCTGACATCCTTGACGTTCAACATGTTCTTACTGTGCTACATTGGTGATCTACTGATCGAAAAGGTATTTGGTTTTATATCTTTTTTCGTATTATACGTGGATTCTTTCACAAATTTTGTTTTGTTATTTATTGTTCACACTACAGAGTACTAACGTCGGAATAACCTGTTGCATGATCGATTGGTATCGTTTGCCAGCAAAGACAATCCAGGACTTGATTTTAGTCATTGCCATGTCGAACAATCCGTCAAAAATTAGCGCCGGTAGAATAGTTGATTTGTCTTTGGCATCCTTTGGAAGTGTAGGTTTTTATTAATGTCTCATTTATATTTTGCAATTAAAAATTTACTTTCTAAACGTAACTTCTTTCCAGGTTTTGAAAACATCGTTTGCGTATTTAAATTTTATTCGGACGACCGTTACGTAATAATTTAATAATAGTTCTGTTTCCGTTATTTATATACTTTACTACCATCCCTCCATTTACGCGGCACTCTTTGTTACGCGTGTTTCTTTTCATGCGATATTAATTTATAACTATTCACGTAGATATTAAATTATAACTATTCACGTAGAAATTTTTATACGCGATATTAATTTATACAGCCAAAATTTTACAAAAATATATTTTTGTAAAATTTTTGTACCGATAACAGTAACAGCGATAAAAATACTTATAATGTATTTTCTACAAGCCGGTTATACTCTTTCAACGATGTATCAAGCACTTCAAATTTATAGAAACTCAGCAGAAAATCAGTTTGAGGCCAAATCGTGCGAAAAATTAACATTAATAATGAACATATAATCGAATTTCCAAACATTTCAAGCGATGGGACAATGAGTTTGTGCCAGTTAAAAAGCAGAGCTTGATTGTTTTAAGTTACAGTAGCGACAATAACGACTGAATAAAATTTACTTCTGTTTACTGAAATCTCATTATTATTATTTTTTTCCTTTTTAATAACCTATGTGAATAAATAAATATGTATTTCTGTGACTTGTACCAACCTCTCTTTTCAATATTTTGTTTTCTTTTTGTGCGGACAGACGATTTCCATTCACGTAAATCTAATCAATGTGGAACGGATACTTCGCGTAAATGAAGGGACGGATGTAATTGTAGAATACTAAATACTTAATTAGAAACTAATACTAAATTAGAATAAATAATATTGAAATAAATAAAAAGTGTTATAAAAATATTATCTTCCCGTTTCTTAAAAAAAAGAAACAACGTATCTATTCTACATACGATATTGCGCTTTTTCACAACAGTAACTCCTAGTCGTCGTGCACTTACGCTTCAAACTACTACACTTCTGTTTCGAGAAAAAGTTTTAGACTCTATAGTATCAAGAGTTGCGGGTTCCCTTTAATTGCAAGCATTCGCTACATTAATGAGCAATAATCGATTTCACGACTTCGATGCACGCACGCAATATCACAAGCGCAGGCCCAACGACCTAGCAACCAATGCTAGCCGGTGGTCGTAAACAGTTGTTTTCGAACTGCCTACGAACATGCATCCTCCCATACGAAATCACGTCGATCACCCGCGAAATCCAAACTACGAGAAAGATATCGTTTACGTGACGAGACACAATAAGTGGGTCCTGAATTCTATCGGAATCTGGCCAGCTGTGTTGAAAGGTATCGGCCAATTTCTCCCGAAAATCGCGATCGGTGTCAGTAATTTAGTGTTATTTTTCACCTTGGTGCAGTGTGTGCTACACATTGTATTCGAGCAAAAAGATCCCCTGCTGAGACTGAAGATTCTAGGCTTGACGTGCTTCTCTTTCATCTCGCTGATGAAATATTGGGCTCTGACGGCACGCAAGTCGAAGATCGAACACTGTATCGAGCAGTTGTACGCTGATTGGAAACAGGTACCCATCGTCAATGAAAATTTGCGAATTTTTTATGCATTTACGGAACGTTTAATAATACAAAAGCGGGTACAAGTACAATGGATGAAATATCCAAAATACAATTTTGTTCACATTTCAAATCCTCTTTCAATTTTTATGTAAATCTGATAGAAATATGAGTTTGCATTAATATTCGTGATCTAGTGATCTGAGATGTAAGTGCGTTATTTTTATCGTTTGATAGGTAAAATTCCAGAGAGATCGTAAACTGATGCTGAAATACGGGAAAATTGGTAGAAAGTTGACCGTGTACGGTGCCGTGTTTATGTATAGCGGTGGCATAATTTACCATACGATTATGCAATACGCGATCGGCTCGTACGTCGACGAGTTTAACCGTACGATCAAATTGCTGGTATATCCTACGTACAGTGCACTATACGATGTTCAAAAGGACCCTATTTACGAACTCGTGTACGTCCTTCAATGTATGTGCGGATACGTGTTCGACAGCGTGACAGCCGGAGCTTGCGGACTGGCTGCACTTTTCGCAACGCACGCCTGTGGCCAGATTGATATCGTTATGTCTCGGATAGAGGATCTAATCGATGGAAAATTCTCCGAGGAAGCTACTAGCCTGAACGTTCGTTTAGTGGAGATTGTTCAACGTCATATCAAAACTTTGAAGTATAAATAAAAAGGTGACGTAATATGTTACGTATTTCCGATTGAATACATATCGTGTACTATTGTAGATTCTCTGCGATGATTGAGACGGTTCTTCAAGAAGTGTGCTTTTTAGAATTTTTTGGCTCCACGTTCGTAATATGTTTGCTCGAATTCTATTGTATCACGGTGCGTTTCTGTTGTTTTTGATTTGTATCTTCAACGACGTTCGTTATTTTTCATGTTTACCTTTATTCCATTTTTCCATATTTTTAAGCAGGATTGGGAACAGAATAATAAAATTGGTCTGATGACGTATTCGCTGCTGTTGACATCCTTGACGTTCAACATGTTCTTATTGTGCTACATTGGTGATCTACTGATCGAGAAGGTATTTTGTTTTATATCTTCTTTCGTTTTATACGTGAATTTTTTCACAAATTTTGTTTGTTATTTATTGTTGACACCACAGAGTACTAACGTCGGAATATCCTGTTGCATGATCGATTGGTATCGTTTGCCAGCAAAGACAGTCCAGGACTTGATTTTAATCATTGCCATGTCGAACAACCCGTCAAAAATTAGCGCCGGTAGAATAGTTGATTTGTCTTTGGCATCCTTTGGAAGTGTAGGTTTTTATTAATGTCTCATTTATATTTTGCAATTAAAAATCTATTAACAATTTACTTTCTAAACGTAACTTCTTTCCAGGTTTTGAAAACATCGTTTGCGTATTTAAATTTTATTCGAACGACTGTTACGTAATAATTTAATAATATTTCTGTTTCCGTTATTTATATACTTTACTACCATCCCTCCATTTACGCGACATCTTTGTTACGCGTGTTTCTTTTCATGCGATAAATTATAACACTATTCACGCAGAAATTTTTATACGCGATGTTAATTTATCCAACCAGAAAATATATATTCTTAAAATTTTTGAAAGTAACGATAACAGTAACACCGATAAAAATACTCATAGTGTATTTTCTACAAATATACTCATAGTGTTTATTTTCTACAAGCCAGTTATGCTCATTCAACGATGTATCAAGCACATCAAATTTATGGAAACTCAGCAGAAAATCAGTTTGAGGCCAAATCGTCCGAAAAATTAACATTAACAATGAACATATAATCGAATTTCCAAACATTTCAAGCGACAATGGGACAATGAGTTTGTGCCAGTTAAAAAGCAGAGCTTGATTGTTTTAAGTTACAGTAGCGATAATAACGACTGAATAAAATTTGCTTCTGTTTACTGAAATCTCATTATTATTTTTTTTTCTTTCTGATAATCTATGTGAAATAAACATGTATTTCTATGGCTTGTACCAACTTCTCTTTTCAATATTTTGTTTTCTTTTTGTGCGGACAGACGATTTCCATTCACTTAAAACTAATCAATGTGGAACGGATATTCCGCGTAAATGAAGGGATGGATATAATTGTAGAATACTAAATACTTAATTAGAAACTAATACTAAATTAAAACAAATAATATTGGAATAAATAAAAAGTGTTATAAAAATATTATCTTCCTGTTTCTTAAAAAAAAGAAACAACGTATCTATTGTACATACGATATTGCGCTTTCTCACACCTTAAGAGGCACCTAATCGTCGTGCACTTACGCTTCAAACTACTCCACTTCTGTTTCGAGAAAAAGTTTTAGACTCCGAGTTTATGTATCTCGATTAGACGCTCTGATCGACGGAAAATTCTCCGAGGAAAATTCTAATCTGAACGGTCGAGTTAGTGATGATCGTTCAACATCATATCAGAAATGAAGTACAAATAAAAAGGTAACGTAATATGTTACTTATTTCCGATTGAATACGTGTCGTGTACTATTGTAGATTCTCTGCGATGGTTGAGACGGTTCTCCAAGAAGTGTGCTTTTTAGAATTTGTTGGATTCACGTTCGAAATATGTTTGCTCGAATATTATTGTATTGTAGTTCGTTCCTGTTGTTTCTGATTTATATTTTCTATATATATTCTGTGGTATTTTTATGTTCATTCTTGTTCCATTTGTCTGTGGTATCCCTATATTTTTTACAGGATTGGGAGCAGAATGATAAAATTGGTCTGACGACGTATTCGTTGCTGATATCCTTGACGTTCGACATGTTCTTATTGTGCTACATTGGTGATCTACTGATCGAGAAGGTATTTTGTTTTATATCTTCTTTCGTATTACACGTGGATTTTTTCACAAATTGTTATTTATTCACAATTATACATTTCAGAATTTGTTATTTATTGTTCACACCACAGAGTACTAACGTCAGAATGTCCTGTTGCATGATCGATTGGTACCGTTTGCCAACCAAGAGAGTCCAGGACCTGATTGTAATCATGTCGAATAGTCCGGCAAAAATTAGCGCCGGTAGAATAGTTGATTTATCTTTGCTTACTTTTGGAAATGTAGGTTTTCACAAATGTTTCGATTCATCTATTGACAATTAAATGCAACATTACGTTTGCAGGTTCTAAAGACATACTTGAATTTCCTTCGAACTGCTGTTATGTAATCATTATTTTCAATATTTAACTATAGAGTAGTAAATAAAGAATTATACAAAAATATTTGTTGCTATTAAATACATTATACTTATATTGTAACGTGTAACATTTTTATATTTCATGTACAACTGCTTTCATAGCTGTAGCACAATTTATTAAAATTGTGCTAAAATATTAAATCAAAGGTAATCTAGTTTTTAATGTTTATTTACAACCACCTAAATCACTATGTCTATGTGATGTATTGTAAAACAAATATCATCAACATTTAAGAATATTTTCTTATCTGTTAACTAATAAAAAGTACATAAGAAAAATCCCAAAATATTTCATTCATGAATTACTCACGTATTTAAATATACACTGCACAAATGACTGTATGTACTCTCCTAATGCTATTAGTTTCTAATCGTCGTACACTATGTTTCTACCCCTTTCGTTCGCATCTAGACAAAAAGTTAGACTATAGCTTCACCGTAATTTCAGACGTTCCCCCCATTGTCGAGTAATAATCGATTTCGAAGTACTACAAGGGATGCACGCACGCGATATCAGAAGCGCAAGCTCAACAACCTGCCAATCAATGCCACTGGATAATCGTAAACAGTCGTTTTCGAACTGTCTGCGAACATGCATCTCTCGATGGAAGATGAGACTGATCGCAGACCGCGGAACCAACACTACGAGAAAGACATCGCTTATGTGACGAAATACAGCAAGTGGATTCTGAGATCTATCGGCATTTGGCCAGCAATGCTCGAAGGCGTGGCAAGATTTCTACCAAAATTCGCGATTGGACTTAGTAATTTTGTGCTACTGTTCGCCATCGTTCCATGCATTCTGCATATCACGTTCGAAGAGAAAGACACTATAGCCAGATTAAAATTATGCGGTTTGCTGAGTTTCTGTTGTACCTCGTTGATGAAGTACTGGGCGCTCACCCTTCGAAAACCAAGGATCATGGACTGTATCGAACAGGTGTGGACTGATTGGAACCAGGTGAGCGAACGAACACGTTTACCGATTTTAAATCGATCTTCGTTTCATTTTAATTCTTTTATTTTTTTATTTTTTTTTTTTAATGAATTAAGTATATAAATAATTTTGTAATATTTCATTCTTATGTGTCCATTTATTACGCGACCTACTCGCGTATTAATCCTGTTGCGGATTTTAACTAATCCATGTCCTGTTTCAACGATTTACGTTTCAAGGAAATTGGGACGGGATATTTTTTAACAACCGAAAGAACGCAACAGGATTAATCGAGGGGAAAATAAATCGAAAGAGTCGAAACATCGAAAATTAATAACAAAGTAATTTCGAACTGATTCATCCACAGATAAATAAATTCTAATATTTATATTATACGTGATCTATAGTAATTCTCGCTTCATATTCCGTTGAAATTGAATCGTTTAGTGTCTCGTTAAGGAGACATCCCTACTGGCAGGTGCAACTACATGAGGATCGCGAAATGATGCTCAAGTACGGGCGTGTGGGTCGAAATCTGGCGTTCGTCTGCATCGTGTTCATGTACACCGGTGGTACGATCTATCACTCGATCTTACAGTATGCGATCGGCACGTTTGTCGACGAGCATAATCGTACGATCAAACCTCTAGTCTATCCTACATACAGCACGCTGTACGACGTTCAAAGTAGCCCGATCTACGAACTAGTGTACGCTCTTCATTGCATGTGTGGTTACGTGATGTATTCCATAACTGCCGGTGCTTGTGGACTAGCCGCGCTTTTCGCCACGCACGCCTGCGGGCAAATCGACATCGTTATGTCTCGATTGAACGATCTCGTGCACGGTGAACGTAACAAAGCGACATCCAATCCAAACGCGCGGCTGATAGAAATTGTTGAGCACCATTTGCGAATTTTAAGGTACTGGTAATACATTTATTCGTTGAAATTTGCAATTTTTATCGACCAGCGACGATGGGAGTAATACGTGATTGCAGATTTTCAGCAACGGTAGAGACGGTGTTGCAAGAAGTATGCTTCCTAGAATTCATTGGATCCACCTTCATGATATGCCTACTCGAATATTATTGCATAACGGTTCGTTCCATTTTATTTTTAACACGGTATTTTGGAAATTTACGATCGTTTGCTCGTAACAGGACTGGGAACAAAGTAACACCATCAGTCTCACAACGTACATGATGTTACTAGTATCTCTGACATTTAATATATTCATATTGTGCTATATCGGCGAGCTTCTGATGGAAAAGGTATATTCTTTTATAATTTAGTAAGAAGTACAGCATCCTTCGAGAAACGAATTTGTTCGGTATAATTCCTATGATTCCTTCACTTGTGATATTATTATTAAATCTGCACTGCGCTTTCTGATTCTCCTTCATCTATTATTCCGTTTCTGATTTTGATTCCAGAGCAGTAGCGTTGCATTGTCTTGTTTCATGACCGACTGGTTTCATCTGCCGACCAAAATGATACACGGTCTTATTTTAATCATTGCTGTGTCAAATAATCCAGCGAAAATTAGTGCCGGCAGAATAGCTGATTTATCTTTATCCACTTTCGGTGGCGTAAGTCTCTATTAATATTGAAGTTCTCGTGTAAATCTGAGAGATCACCTATCTCTCATAAAAGCTAATCTGTCTTTGCAGGTTATCAAATCATCATTGGCGTATTTGAGTTTCCTCCGGACCACTATTATGTAATAGCCCGTTTCTTCTTCTGTCGATGTCACAACAAGTTGCTGAAACAAACTTGAATCACAAAAAATTTAGTAAAATTTCACAAGATATAAATCATTACCAACAAAAGAGACCCGAGCGTCATTTCCTCAATTGAAACCCGAATGACAAACTGAAAATGGTTTATCTCTTTTGTTTCGCAACACTAATTTGCTAATATCAGATATAAAATAAAAGATTCTGAAAATAAACCGCGAAGAGTGCTTATTACATTTACAACAATAATTAATTTACCATTTAAAAGAAAAAAGAGACAAAAGGAATCGCGAAACTATAGCAGGACATGCATTCATTTTCGTAACGCTAAGTAATTATTAATTCATGCACTCGTGTTTAAATATTCGCAACACTAATTACAAAATTCGATACATCTGTGCTGAGGACTGCTGACAATCACTTTTGTACAGTGTTTTTTAACTGTACAGCATAATTCAGGAACGTGCTTCCACGATCTCAGTGGAAGGGATTTGGGCATTTTATAAACGCAACACTATTTTAAAAAACGCGATCGTTTATCAACGCAACGCTAACTAAGAGAAAAAATTGAAATATACGATGTAGAAATCTCGCAACGTTAAATTCTCAAAATGTGTCTGTCTAAAAGGAGAACTACTTCAATTATTCACGACAAGTTAAATAGCGTTCTTCTAAAAGTTAGTGTTCTTCCAATCTAATTTTGCACAAAATAAAAACCAACAAAATTTAATATACAACTATTCAAGAATTTGCAGCAATTTAAAATAATCAAAACTGTAAAAAACAATCACGGTATGATAATTCGCAACTCTAAAACAAACACGATTATCGTTTCTTCGCAACGCTAATTTAAACCGTAATCAATTTCTCGCAACGCTAATAAGAAAAACCGCGATTTGCCCAAAAACAATGATGGAGAAGAAAAAAGAAATACAACTACAAATACTAAAAGAGCATAGTGACAAAGTAGTAACGAGAATGACGTCCCATGCTCTGAAATCATTTAAATGATGCAGAGGATGAGAGGGCATTTGTTGTGACCCTCTTCGTGGCAGTTTGCCGGGCCTCTTCGGCTCTTCGAGCGCAATGCCCGCTGAAACTTACATCTAGCTCGAGTCTTTCTAATCGCAAACCAAAAAATACTTTATAGAGGTGGAATAAAAAGATAAACCTCAATGCACATGGACGACCATCGATCATAGTGATCGTTGTCCGTTCGCACGTGCGTGCTCGAGCAATACCTACATAAACGTTCGTTTCGGGACCTACTCGCGACCTATCCGCGACCGCGACCGCGATACTAAATTCGAAAAATCGAAGAGTAAAACCAGAGACAAGTGGNCCTCCGACACCCGAGTTTAACATACAACTTTCACACTCTAATTTACGTACCATTTCCTGAAATCGACTGACAATGGCTAGCGACCATTGCGTAAAACGTGATTAAAACACGTTTATGTTTACAGCTAATATTACTAACTGAAAAAAATACGTATAATTTCTATAGAAATTATATGTGCAAGTTGAGTTGGAATCATTATTATAGTATGGTTATAATAATAATAATGTAATTATAATGTATTCGTTAGGTATCATGATAATTCATAATTTTTTAAATTACTGCATAAATATTTTAAATATTTCAACTTATAATGAATGGAGCAATAGAAACGACGCAATTCCACATCCTAACCACACATACACACACATGCGGAAAATACGTCGTGCACGATACGCTAACACATTGTCAGTCGCTGAGAAATTTTTTATAAAATTACAAACTATGGTCATCGTGCCCAATGTCTTTCACCCACCCAAGTAGCACCTGGGCACGTGAGTGAGATCCTGACAATGAACACGGAAGGGGTTAAACCTGAAAATCCTACACTGAAGAAATAATTAGTTTATGTAATTTGTATCCAACGGGCTATTATATCATTTTATTTCAAACTGTAATGACTCTACTCTTTCAGAAATTATTGAAATTGCAAGAAAATGAAGACAAAGAATTGAATTTATAAAAAAAAAAGATATGAAATCTAACAATTGACAAAACCAATCAAAATCAAACAATTTGACTCTAAAGTAAATATTAATGGAAAAAATCTCAGGCGACTTCTTCATCAAAGCACATTTTCGAAAATGCAAGAGCAGTGTTCAAGCTTGTTGCCTTGATTCAAAAATCTGCCTGTCGCGAAGTATCTTCTTGCACATAAAATTTTATATATTCTTTTACGGAAAGAATTCTAATCTACTATATATTTCAAATTGTATTGAAGTTCAAAATTATAAAATTTAATTAATTAATACTATTATAAAAAGGAAGATGAAGTTGGAAATTATTGATTGTTATAACAATAATATATCAATAAATAATAACTGCATCTTTCAGCAACGAAGTCGGAGGGTGTCCGACTTCTCCACTACCAAATCATTTTAATAATAATTATTTATAATTTATCTATTTATATGGACGTTCATATGAATATTTTGCTTTTGCAAACATTTATATTGAATATATTTTAATTTTACAAGTAATTACTATAACTATAACTATAAATATGTATTCCAACTAATTGTTAAAATCGCGATGTGCAAGAAGCCCTATCCTGATCTAATACATAAAAAATGTTACTACTCACAGGTATAAAAAATACCCGCGGTCACTATGCTCGTCAAAAATTCTACGTATACAACCAGTCACCCGTGCCGATTCGGACCTTTCATCCTACGACATGATTGAGTAACCAGAGGAACGAAAATGCATGCGACTCACATGCGAAGAACGATATCATCTGCACTGGACCAAGGAAAGTAGTGAAGATCCTCATCAAGCAGATACATTGAGAATTCCATGATAGACGTGAACGCCGTGAAAAATTTCTTGAAAAACATAAAGATGCAGTGTTAATTGTTAAAATTTAAATTTTAATAATGATAAAAATTGGGATTTTAGTAATTTGAAATGTTTTTATTTTATAATTATAATTTTACTTTAAACTTTAACGGAAAGAGAATTGTAGAGAATAGAATTCAAGTACAACGTGCTAAAGTACTTACATTCATAGCTTTTGAAGCATCGTAAAATTCTTAAAGGATAAGGGAAATTGGAGGCTGTAGAGAATCTGTGACATAAAACATTAGAATTTGTATTTAAAGCAGAATCTTAAGTTCGAGATAATGAAAGATTCTTACATTCTTGGTTTTGGAGCTATATATCAAAAAGTTGATGCTATGAAGCGTCTGTAACAAAATATCAAACATTATATTTTGTTGTCAAACTTAAAAAATTGAGTAAATTGAAGTGCAACGTATAAAATTACTTATGATTTTGATCTCCTAGAGAGACTTTATCCTCTTGAGCACTGACTCTAATATACCGAAAACGATTGTTGAATAAGAAAAAGGAAAAATAAAAGACTATCAATGCGCGCGTTTAAGTAACAATCGGCGGACTCACTGACTCTAACTTCACGAGTTACAATTTGAATGGATTGATTATTTAATTTAATGAGAGCCATTTTGCTCAGAAAAATAGAAAATAGAAAATTTCGAAACAAACACTGATTCTACCAACCGCATTGCGCGCGGTCACAAAAATTTTCTGAAACTCGACAACGGAATAAAATTACTATTTTAACTATTAAATACGTACATTCTTAATAAACTATTATTAAATTTAGTATTAGAATTGTTAAGAATTACGCAGTATGAAGTTAAGGAATCAACAAATAGGTAGAAAATATTATAATAGAATGTGTGTAAAAACATATAATAAAATATATATATATATGTGTATTTTATTATATGTTTTTACATTTCTATTATAATATTTTCTACTTATTTTTTACTTTTTATATTTTATATATATATATATATACATATACACACAAATATTGTACCTTGTAATTAACTAACCTATTGTTATATATATATATATATATATATATATATAAAATTATAAATAACTTTTAGCTAGTATGTTTTGTTTATATTTTTATATGCGATTATTTCTTTAATTGTTGAAAATTATATGCAATAATTATTTGGTTAAATAATACCTTGAGTTGGTGCCAAAAATACACATTTTATCTTAAAAATTCACACACAAAATACAAAACACAAACACAAATCTAACAACTATTGATTTATATTTTTACCTGAAAACTTTTGGATGGTACTTCTTTCTACATGACTCTTCTGGATAACTCTTTATTCTTTACAGACAAAGCGTACTTTCTTCCTTCCGCCATTCCTCCCGCTTAGAGATCGAGAAATATCGATTACGTTCGAGAATTGTAGGAAGTATATTGCGTATTTCACCGCTGGGGCGCTGCGATCGCGTGTTTCGCACGAACCGTTAACTGGAAAAATAATCAAAGGTTCTGTCCTAAACCACGACAAAATTTATGAGAACGAAAATATTCACACACTTGATGAAAAAATAAATGTCAATACTTTAAACTGTGACATGAGAAATTTTATTATATTACGCAGTAGAATTATTATTTTAGCCATTATATACGTACATTTTTGATAAATTATTTTTGAATTTAGTATTAGATTTGTTAAGAGTTACACAGTATGAGGTTAAAGAATCAACAAATGAATAGAAAATGTTACAGCAGAAGTAAAAGCATATTATGTACATATATAATAAAAAGGTAATCATATTACAAGGTCACAATATTTGTTAGAATTGAAGTTAAATTTTGGTAAAATTATGCATAACTTTTAGTATGATACGTTCTATTTAAATGTTTAAATGGTATTATTTCTTCCCTTAATTATATGTAATTATATATAATTATATGTAAAAATTATATGTAATAATTATTTGGTTAAATCTTACCTTGAGTTGAAGCCAAAAATGCACGTTTTTATCTTAAAAATTCACAACACAAACATAAATCTATCAATTATTGATTTAAACTTTTACCTGAGAACTTCTGGTTGACACACTTTTTTCTACATGATTCTTCTGGATTCATATCTCTTTATTCTTTACAGACG